CGAAAAAAAAAAGAAAGTATTCGTGATTTTATTTCACTGAGAAACTAACCACTGACGTGTAGTCCACTCGGTACACATATGCAGATAAGAACGACAAAACTTTCTTTCACATAGAAGAAAGAGAACACCGTGCAGACGGCAATAGAATGAAATATATATATATATATGTATGGTGTGTGAGATGCGAGTTTATTATTACGCATTTGTCGCTCGCAACTGAAAAAAGGAGAAAAAAATCAATAAGGTATGTTGGAAAAATAAAAGCTTTGAGTCATAGTGAAGTAGATCGATTTCATATTCATATTTTCAGCGTTCTTCGTCTATTAATACATTGAAAGATGTTTGAAGGATCGAAAAAGAGTGTTAAAGAACGACAGACAGAAATCAAGAAGTCTATTGACGAAGCTTACGCAAAATTTGTTCCGTATAAAGTAAGAAAAGTTATTCTCAAGAACATTTTACTCATCGGTCGAACTCGTACTAGCAAAAGCACAATCCAAAGTGTCCTGGTCAATCCTCGTCAAATAGGTGCTGAATCGACACTTTACGCACAAACAAAAGTTGCTGAATTCCAATCATATATTGTCGAAGGTACAAAAGCCGAAAGAGACCGAACAGGCGATTCAACAACGACAGAAACGCAAGGAGAACAGCTACTTCATGAAGAAACTGAAACGAATATCGCCGAAGAAGCAGTTACTGTTCTAAATGTCATTGATACACCCGGTTTATTTGAACATGGAGCTGCATCTGATACGATTCAAGACAATGAAACCATTCTTAAAACTATTGAAACATGTATCAACCGAGAAATTACGAAATTTCATCTGGTTTGCTTTTGTGCATCATTCGATTCCGGAATTAACAATCAAGACATCGAATCTTTGAAAATCTTGACCGACTTTCTTGGAAAAGATGTTTAGAAAAATTCCTGTTTAATCATCACCCGTTGTGAATCGAAGGACAAAGCTGAACGTGATAAGCTGGTCAATGAAATCGTCAATGATGTTCATTTTAAAGATATTGCTCCGTACTTTCAAAAAGGTATTCATTTTTGGCGGCGTTCTAAATAGAGATAATTGGCTGAAGGGCCAAAAGGATACAATTGAAGATCAATTCGAAACGATTTGCGGGTATCGAACGAAGTTAATCGACTTATTTAGCATGGTAAGTGATCCATTCGACATAAAAGATTGTGATTTTACAGAATTGAAAAAACTTTTAAGGGATCGTCAAGATCTCTCTAAACAATTGGAAGAATATAAACGTCAGCAAAATAATAACAGATGCTTCATTTCATAAGAAGAAATACGCAACACTTCTAATTTTTCTACTTCTTTCAGATAATGTTTCCTCGAGAAAATCAATCGAATTCAAATAAAAACGTTACACAAGAATCAATAGTCAATCAGATCAAAGAACTTTACAGGAAAAAACAAAGAAACACGCCATCCAATCAAAATAATCTACAGAAAAACATCCTCATCATCGGTCGACAACACATCGGAAAAACAACTTTAAAAAATGTTTTACAAGATCCTTGTTACATACCAACTAACTCCTCATTATTTTCTGGAGCACCTTCAACGATTCTTTATCCACCATTTTCAGTACGCGATTCAAATCTTTCGTTAACTATTATCGAAACATCTGAACCTTTCAATGGATCAATGAGACAAAAAGACACATCGATGAACAATGTGCATAACTTTTGCATTGAAAACAACATCCGACAAGTTCATCTGATATGTTTTTGTACATCGTTCGAAGCGGGAGTCAATGACGCAGATATTGATATTTTACATAAACTAGTCAATTATTTCGGCGAACAGATTTGTTCGAATTTGTGTTTGGTCATTACTCGATGTGAATTGAAAGGTGAACGAGAACGTCAACGTCTATTAGATGAAATTGAAAACGATGTCAACTTTCGAACAGTTGTACCATATTTTCGTCAAGGAATTTATTTTTCTGGTTCAATAAGCCAAGATGGAGTGAATCGAAAAGATTTGGAATTAGTCACCGAACAATTTGAAACTGTTTATCATTACCGACGAAATCTTATTCAGTTGTTTCGGAATGTTAAAAAACCATTTAACATTGATCAAAGACAACGATCGCAACCAGAGGAAAGACGCGCAATTCTACCCGGTACTTCTAGATCGCACGATCGTGTTCGTCAACATAAAAAATGCTGTGAGATTTTGTAGTATAGTCAGATGTTCTTCTATTAGTTTACCTATCTTCGAAATAAATCATTTTCATCAGTACACCTTCAGATTCATTTCGACTATGAAGAACTATAGTAGACGTAGTATGACTTTCAACCATTATAGATTTTTGTAACTCGAAAACCAACGAATGAACTTTCTTCTTAAACGAAGTTTTTTTTCTTTTATAGTTTCAATTTCAAAGATTGCCGCTCTATTAATAGTATTATTATCAATATATCTCTTCATTCCATGGCAGACTACACAACCAGAACGACCGCGGCGATTTGAACTGGACAAAGATTGGGTGGATCATTTCACTAATGGATTTCAAGCTGTGAATCATCTAAATCGTGTGATAATATTTTCCTCTAAAGACAATTTACAATTGGATTCCAATGACGAATTACATTCTTTTCTATTGCAACAATCAACTGAAATGAAAAATCTTCTAAATAAATTCAACCAAATCAATGATCTCATCTTAGAAAATTTTTCAAACTGGTTGTCTTCTTTTCACAGTATTCAAAATGAAGCTGATGATCCGGAAACATTGGATTTCTTTTGGAAAAACATCACAGATATCAAAGAAACATTCGAAAGATTTGTCAATGAATTTCCTCTGGAGCAAAGTTCACAATTCGATGAATTTATTCGTATTTTGACCATAACATCTTCAAATAAGCAAAAGATTTACGATGAAACATGGACTCAAATTCCTTCAGATGAACAAATTCACAAAAAAACGGAAGAAATCAAATTCAAATCCGAACTTGAAAAACGCGCTGACGAACATTACAACAAAATGTTACTTTCATACAAAAATCGTCGGGGAACAAAAGAAGATGTTGAAAAAGCATTAGCAGCTGTTAAAAAGGCTCGTGAAGAACACATTTACGCACAGACATGTCTTCAATCAACAGTTGACCAAAATCAAACAATTCAATTCGAACAAATCAAACGCGAATATGATTTGGAGTTCTTAACAAACATTACCGACGAAGTAAAGATATTATCCGAACATTGGTCACACTTTCAGCAATCCTTCGCGATACTTTCACAACATATTCAATTCACAAAACAAGTCTGTTTTTGCTTTTTTTCTCTCTCCGGATTTGACCAACAGATTTCGTTTTAGATTCTCAATGACAAACTATTAACTTCCGGAGATGAGCGAATGAGTTTGATGAGAACACAATCATTGATTGTAAAGGAATGTCATCGACAAATGAGATTAATTCATCAGTTATGTCAAGCACTGCATATTTCGCTGAAATCTATGATCGACCAATTGAATAACAATGAAAAATATTTTCGTTACGGTAATGAAGAACAACAATATGATTATTTGCAGGAATTAAATCAGCCAAATGAAGAACTTTCTTCGATATTAAAATCTCTGATAGAATTCACTCAGGTAGAAGAAAAACAAGATATCGACGGATGATACTGGATGTTGTTTATACAAGAAATATATTCGACTTTTCTTTTTTTGTTATGTTTTGTTTCGTATCGCACGGAAATATGTTGATAAGATCGAACATGTCTTTTCCTCGTTTTGTCAGAAAGAGTACCGATCAGAATCTTGTGTTTGTCAAGCACGAATTGTTAATTTGCGGAGTTTGGAATTTGAAATATTTGATCCAAACTTGAATCAGATGTGAACTCATCAACAAAGCCATGATTAAGATGATTAACCAAGCCTAAAGAAAAATTTTGAAAGATAAACAATTAAGTTTGACTTACTTTCCATGATTGATTGATCTCATCGACTAGTTTTATTAATAAAAGTTGAATAAAAGTAAATCCACCGACGAAACTCCACATAATTCCAGTCAAACGACCGATGTATTGAGATGGAAAACTGTTTTCTTTGAATTATTCTTTTAAATTATCGAGAAAAAGTGAAACTTACAATGTTGAAATCACCGATTGACATCCAGCGACAACTGTCGAACGACAGAAACAGTTCAATACTAAAATTGGAATGACGATGTTCGGTGTCGATGGAAACATAGTTATCAAACATAAAATCACATTTAATAACCAAGAAATCGTTTCAACGATCGAAATATTCAATAATTTCTGTTTTTGACCTTCAAACAAAACTTTATTCTCTCCAAAAATCAAAAGCTTTTCCCATTTACTTCGATCCGCTTTGAACCCGAGTAAATAACCATTAACTGGACAAATAACGATTGCCGATAGTGTTGAAATGTTATATGCAAATGTATATGATCGACTTGATGATTTGTTTTGATTTGTAATAAACTGTATCAACGGTTGCCAAACAACCGAAAGAAATACGGTTGGAATGATAAGGACACTCAGAAACAAAACAACGGAGATATACAAAGGATCTCGAAGAGTTTTCCAAAAATTAATTTCGTGATTTCGATCGGCAGTTGATTCAAGTTGAATATCAAATTTATAGGGTAAATTCCAAAACGAATAATTCCAATCGAGGAAAAGAAACGAAGTTAAGAAGATTAGCAGAGCAAAGCCCAGCCAAACATATGCCAATGTGCTCAATTCACAAGTATTTCTATCAATCAAAATCTTGAAAAAACGAAATTTTTGGAAAGCATTCATTTTTTTTGTTTGATTACTTGAAAAACTGCGAACCACATCGTCGCAGAGATTCCCGCTCCTGCTAAAAGTGAAGAAACAAGCGCACGGGACTTGGAAAAGTAATTCGCAGATGTATAACTCGTCAGCAGAATCATAATTCCACTAATGGAGGAAAATATACAATGAAGATACATTAACCAATCGCGACCTTTGGATAAACGAGATTATTTGGATGAGAAAAAAAGAAGAATTTTAGTCACCTGGTTTAAGTAATGCCAAGGATAACCATCCAATGATGTGAAAAATTCTGGAAAAAAAGAAGTTTTTCGAGGAAATTTTGGGAGAAAATGTGATTTTACATTGAAATTAGTTTAACAAATCGACAACCAAATTTATCGATTAGAATTCCAATGAAAAAAGCGGGTGAATCGAATGCCGCAATTCCAATTGTCAATGCGTTCTTTCGAGCAAAAAATAATAAAGACAAAGCAGAAAAGGGCATAAAATTACTTGAAAATGTTTAATTTGAGATGAATTTTGATAAATTTTCATTTGACTTAAAATAGGAAAAAGTGCTGGAAAGCCGAAAATAGTTCCACCAAGTAAATTCATTTCAATCAACAAAATCAAAACTCCCATCGATTTATAAAAATTCGGATTCCTTCTCACAAATTCCATTTTCTTCAAATGATCAAATTCCTCAAATCACATTTATTCTCCGATCAACCATCACGTTTGCAATTTTCTTTTCACAATTCAATCTCATCTTCATCATCACGACCTTCACATGATAGAAATCGATCCACAATCAAAAATTCTACACGTACTGGGCGTGAACTCTTATATGAAATCATTTTGATTAATTGTTATTACATATTGGAGCGTTCGTGAAAGAACAATAGATGAATGGCGAAACGGTTAGTTTTTCAAACCAAGACGTGATCCTTCACTTGGAGGTTTGTGTGTTTAGACTATTTTTAGTTTGAGAGAGAGAGAGAGAAGAGATATGTATGAACTTGGCGAAGTTATCGAGTAAAAAGTGATTTCGTTGATGAAAAACTGAGTATCTTAAGGATGAGCGTGATTTGAAATGTGAATAATCTTCGGTATTTTCGAGTAAAACTAATGACGTGACTTCTTTCATGATAAAAGTATGTAGAAAAAAGAAACGAAAAAAAAATCGAGTTGATTGTACCAAAACGTGGTATGAAGAATAAACGAAATGATGAATGATGAAAAGATAATACGAAACAATGACGCACTTTTATGCTCGAGTGATTACATTTTTTTTTGTCCATGAAGAACAAAATGTATAAATAACAGAACAATATTATCTTGTTTTCAGTCTCATTTTTATTTCTAAATATCAAAGGTTGCTCGTTCATTTTAATACAATATGTACGGAAGTAATCCCTTCGCTGGTGGCTTTGGAGAATTAGCCTCGGATTTTGCCATCAACAGTCTCGTACCTGGTGGATTGAACAGTAACGTCTACGACGAAAAATTCTCCTTTTTTTATTCAATTTCTTTGTTTTAGGTCCAATGGGAATGATTGTTGACAATATGTTCGGTGGAAATCCAAATGGTGGATTTGGAATGGGTGGAAACTTTGGAATGGGGGGTGGAATGGGTGGTGGATTTGGAGGTCATCATCCCTATGGCGGAGGTTTTGGTGGAGGTTACAATGGTGGTTATGGAGGTGGTTATGGGTATTATTAAGCGATTTAACGAAGGTTTTTTTAATAATGTACAGATAAAAAGAGATTTTTATCAAAAAATAAATTTATGACATTATTCAAAGATAAAATCTGTTGTTTTCATTGTACCGCGAGATGGTAATTAAGGGAAAGTTTCTGTCGATCCAAATGAACAATATTTTTTATCAGTTATAAACATTATCTGTGTTTGAACAATAATCTGTTGGGTACAAAAGAAAGAACATTTTGTAAATGCGTTTGAAACATCAAAATGAGATTCTTTGTTGTTTTTCTCCTTTTTACTCCGTTAGTTTTAGTTCAAAGTTATTGTCCTCCGGGTTATCAATACAAAAAATCAAACTTTCGGCGAACTCGCCGTGCTGCAAACGATGAAGATCTCCATACAAAGATTTGTAAAGCAGGAACATTGTTTATTATGCGACGAAGGTACTTATCAAATTTGTATGACTTATAATAATTTCACTTCGAATCTCTGTTCTTATTTCGATTTATAAACACCGAAATACATTCAAAGACAAAATACACCTTATAATACAAGTTTAGGCGACGCCAGGATTGACTGGTGACTCAATCAACTTTTGTCAACAGACGGAGTTACTATTAAATCAGTTCCGTTCTATGAATATAGAGAAAAGTTCTGACAGTATGATGTATAACGGAAAATCGATCCTTTTCACGGTTAATGCAAATTATCTGAATCAAAGATATACAAAAAGAAGCGGAAGTCCGAAACACAAAGTTGTTAAGACGTACATGAAAACAAAACAAAACTTTACTGTCTGCCAGGAGACCAATACATTATTACCATAAGTATAATTTTCTTCCGGCATGTGTTACTTTGTAATCAGTAGATAATACTTTAGAATCAATTAAGCCAGTCAGATGTCGAAAATACACTTCACTTGCATATGTAAAACATGTTAATAGTAGATCAGGAGTATTTTGCTTTACTAAAAGTTGTAATATAGCTTCCATATCTTTCATATATGTATTCATTTCAAGATACTGAATACGAGGAAATAATTTTATAAGTAATTCGGTTTTGTTTGGCGTAGATCGTTCTTCAAAACTGATGCTCGTGATGGAATTTGTCTCTGATAATAATCGAAATTTGTCGTTTTGTTCAATGGATTTTCTTCCTTCTTTGTAAAGAGGCATTGTTTTAAATGCCAATATTTGAAGATTAGGAATACATGATAATAAATCAATCATTTTTATAAGAGAAAAATGATGACATTTGATCACTAAAGTTTTTATTCGTTGTAAAGATAAAATACGATTGATACCGATCGAAGATGGCAAATAACCAGCATTTGAAAATCGATCTTCTAAAGTAAGTTTATTTGCATTTGGAAAGTAAGACATACACTGATTGATTGCTCTTTCATCTCCAATTTCAACATGGTCAACTGAGTAGAACATTGTTCGAATTTCACCTGTGAAACTTTCTTCATTGGATTGTTTATATACTCTATAATCTTTTTTCCTAAAATATGTTATGAAACAGATCTCTTAAACCTTATGAAAAACCTCGTCATTAGTATTTACCGATATGCATTCACTGAAAAGAAAAGTTTTTGCTCTGGGTATCGAAATCGAATTATTTCAGAATGAAAAAACCATTGACGTTCAATCCAAAATGATGATTGAAATTGAGTAACTTGCTCTTCATACGCTACATTTTCTGCATTATCATATGAATAAAATATAAACCTGACATCAAAAATACGTAATTTTGATAGATGTGTCGATATCAATTGTTTCCATTTGTTCGCATCTAAAGTCGTTAGTGATACAGAGAGACGTAAAACCTCAACAAGAGAAAAATGATTGATAAGAATACGTTCCAATGTCTCGAATCTCAGTTTGTAAGTTGACTTCAGAGATAGATGTGTTAAATTGTTCAGAACATGACATGGTACATTGATTAGTGAATATTCATAATCTGATGATAAGTGTAAAGAAAGATGACGTAGTCGAGGGACATATGGAAGAAAACTATTGAGCTGGATATATTTGATTTGATGATCAATAACTAAATGTTCGATCGAACTTTGTTCGTTTAGGTGAATCGATGGTACATCATATGATTGATATCTTGGATTTTCCAATGATAATTTGCAATAACGTAATGAAGGTAAACGAAAGATTTGTTCATAAATACCAATTTTATCTTTAACTGTATCAATAGTCATAATACTCAATGAAGATAAATGTGATAACAAAATTAATTGATTGGCCAGATTTTGTAAACATCTAGATTCAATTTTTTCGATGACAAGTGATCGAAGAAATGTCATTTGTGTTAATGGAAGTGTTTGTTCATCATACATAAAATAATGTGAAACGTGAATGGAATGAATTTGTTGAATGTTGGGTTGAATAATATCATCATTGTAACGATGAAATGTTGATGGAGACATAAGAGGAATATTGATTCTCAATGGAAGATTTGATTCTATGAGAAAAGATTGAAATCGATAATTGAGACGGAAAAATGCTTTGTGAACATGATAAGAATCAAGATAATCAAAGATTTCATAGATAATTTCGTTAGCGAGATCTTCAAATCGTGTAACACAACTAAATCATAGAAATAATAAAAGAAATTCTCATGGAAGATCAATTCTTTTCAACTTACCAATCATCGGTTTTCTGTCTTTTATTGTCGTTGAAACTATCACATCGTTGACGTTTGATTTGATCCATTCGAAACTATTCGATATTTAACGAAAACTTTCAGTTGTTTATATCTTTTCATGTGACTTACTTCGAGTCGATGAAATTGCGACTGAGATGTAAGAAAGGAAAAAAAAACAAATGAGTCATTCAAATCGGAAGAAATATTGGATATTTCCAACATGCGAATGAGTAATCGGATACTTTAGCAAGAATCCCTACTTGTGTGTTTATCAATACAACAAGTATAGCGCTAGATATTTGTCAAGCCCAAAATTGAACTCAAACCATAAACACAAAATGAATGCACTGCAGTGAAACCCAGATGAATGAGAGCATCGGATCCAAACGAATAGAATTATTGTCTGGTTGTGGTAAATTCAATTATAGAACACACAATTTAAGCTGATATAAATAGTATAATAGGAGAGAAAGAAACTGAGCATTTACGACAAGAATGCTTTAAACTAAGTTCGACTGACTTCGAAAGTTCGTTAATATAGTTGGATTTTACCATTTATATTAGAATTTAGAAAATATTTACATCTTGAACTAAAGAATAAAGCAAGAATTCCAGAGATCTTGAGAAAAGATGTTACTGATATGAGAGAGGAAGGCTCTAAAACACGAAGGAGTTATAAAGTCCTTAGAAAAAAAAATGCATCAAAGATAAAACGAAGTGGTGAAGTTTATATTCTGAGATCTTTCGTCTTCTCTTGTGAAACATCGATTGAAGCACGATTTACAAAAAGTATTCGAGGGGATGCGTGTATAGACTCAGACAAAGATAAAGGTGTCAACTGCGAGGTGCTGTCTACACACCAACGCACAACCTCGTCGGTAGAATGAAAATCTGTTAGTTTTTAAAAGATTTTTTAAAATTTGAATTTTGTATTGAAGGCGTATCATAAAACGAGTCTTTAAAATGTGTATTTATTAAACGGAACAATTTCAGTTGATCTACAACGGGTTTGAATTGTGAAGAAAATTTTCCTCGCGAGTAAAGTCATTAGTTATAATAGGATAATCAATCTGCCATACAAACAAAGTACTCAGGACGCACTGTATATAAAATAATCATCTTTACGAACTGTATATGAACAAGAGATCGGAGTGCAAGCTCTATAAAAAACTCAATAGGATTTGTAAATCTGCCATGTTTCAACAAATAATTCATCAGCGAAGTCTTGACTAACTGTATCTCTTCTGAACCGACTTTTTTTTTGAAGAATTAATCGGTGATATATTCGTTCGATAAGGAAGTCGATTTTGAATAGTTGTTGCATAGTATAGCAGTGAACCCTCTCCCTCAAGTAAATGAACAGAATAACGGCTGACATTGAAAATAATAATTCTCGTATGAATATTTGGTACCACCAGACTTGAATAAAATCGCTTGAACATATTTGATAATATTTCACTTCGATTTTAACAAAATTCTCATACGGAATAGACATTTGACTACAAAGACATGTCAATGTTAATGAAGGTTGTCCCATTGGTCGATTCTTTGCAAACAACAATTTGTATAAGAAGCGATACAAACGAACGAGATAAGGAGTCATAACACGTAAAACGACTGATATGCCACCCTCAAGTCCAAACAAGGCTGATAAAGTGTAGATCCAATCAAACCGATAATTGAACGAATAGGAACATGTTCTGGGAGAACATACCAAGTAATAATCTTCATAATTTGTTTCATTGTGGATTTCTTCAAGGAAAAGTTCATTGAAAAGTGACTCGATCATTGTTGTTGGAGCGAAATAACTTGGTTGAGATGAGTTCAGAATGGAAACATTGATCTTTTGTTGATAAGATGAAAGTCAAGATATGATTGGTGATAAAAGTATTCCAATGTTGATCGAAATGTCATTTGAAATGGCAAACAATTGTAACAACTAGACCAAGCAAAGTTTCATTGAATGGTATTGTGTTCATATCATAAACTACAGATCAATGTGTGATGTTGAACAAATCAATATTAGCAGAAAGTGGACATGTACGATCATTTTCACAGACACAGGCTTTCTTCGAATTGTTTTGTATAAATTGATTTCGATATATCGCGGCATAAAAATCCGGGTTTGGATCAGTAGATTGATTATCATACACCGCGCGAAGAACATAGTTGTTTCCTGATGCAGTTAGTAGTTCATTTGCTTCGATGATTCGATGAGCAATTTTGACGGATTGAATCAAATGAACGGTTTCCATTTGACGAAGCGATGACAGGGTACTTTGACTTTTTACGTTTAACAATTCTTTGTTCAACAACGTTGGACTGATCAATGAAGTATTAGCAAATTGATTAAAAATGTCATTGGTTATTCAATGAGCATTTTGACAAAATGATCGAATGAATTTCCACATGGCACTGAGACTCGTTCGCACATCGATAGGTCAAAGAGAGACGAGATTTTCAAGGAATAGGGAATTAATCCATTCCTGTGTGACGAAATCACTTGAACACACCTGATGAAATCTTGGACTTGTTCTCACAAATTGCCCGTAGGATATCGAAATCTTCGTACATGGACACTGTAAACTATCCGAATATTGCCGTTGAAGTTTTTGATATTGAGAATAAGTTGGAGTGAGAACGAATTCGCTTTTGAATCGCACACTGAATGATGTATAAGCTGTTAAAACACCGACACAAATAAGCAGAAGAATGAGATACAAACAAGTTGTTAATAATTTACAACGTGTGATTGCCGGATCTGATGATCGAGAATCAAAAGCATTCCATGTAAGGAGATGAGCATATCCATGTTTTGCTACCGATTTGAGCGAGATGAGGAAAGTCATAGTCGAGTTTTGTGTGTGAGGGTGTGGGTGAGGGTGAGGGTGAGGGTGGGTGTGGGATGAGGGTGTAGGTAAAAATTTTATGATTGGAATCGATAGAGGACGTCGAGTTTGATTTAAAATCAGCACTGGAATTGAGACAGGTGGCCGTAAGTCGAATCTGCCCGGACTCTTCTGCAGTTTGAGGTTCCTTGGGGTGTTATTTTTAGATTTTGAGTTTTGGGGGTGAAGATGAGTAGTGTAGAAATCATTAACTCGATCCGAGTATTAAACATTTTCTTCGAGTTTTAAAACTTCAGCTTCAAAATTCGAATACTCGAGTTTTCAACTTCTAAACTTAAAATTCGAAGGTTCGAATTTACAACTTCTGCTCTCCACCCTCTCACCCACACCCACTCTCACCCTTAGGAGTTTAAGTTTGTATTAGTTGTTTAAACTAGGGTCGTGTCATGCGAAAATCAAGTCGCTTCTTTCGGTTTGGATCATAGAGTATAAGTTGATTTTATCTGTGTCTAGTTGACACTTGTGTTTGCTCGTAATGTTCATAATTAAACAGTTAAAACGGATGTAATTTCATCAAAATATTCAAAACTACGCAATGCTTTTTTTAAATAAGAAAGTAATTTATTTTTCAATCGTAACAGTAGTATGTCATGACTGAACGCTTTTTAACACATTATTAGTTCGCAGTAATTTTGCACTAACAGACCCGCATTGTTGCTTCTCATTAGGATATGAATAGAGATGATCGTGGAGAAGACAGATGTCGACTCCCTCCATTTTGANGCCGCAGTTTTGCACGTACACGATGACCAATAAATTCGATTTCTCGTACGCAATTACCATTTTCATTGGTCTCTACGGTGGTCTCATCATTATATTACGATTAATTTCTCCATTTCTCATCCTTTTCTTCACAAGATTTCACATTTTTCAACTAAGTATATCTCGAATAAAATTTATCTCATTCATAAACAGTGTTTTTGGAAGGAAACTTTTCAACACACTTGCGAGTAGCTGTCAAACCAATAAAACGATTGAATCTATTTAAAAATATCAATGATCGAACTGAAAATAGTATCAAACAACAAACAATGGTGACACGTGTCTACTTAACTTTATTAATTGGTACGTAAAGAGTCTTTCTAGAGCATAGATTGACATATCTGAACTAAATATTTGAATTCAATAATAGAAAGGATTTGTTTTAGGATCAATACTCATTCTCGTACTCTTCAATTCACTAAGTACACAAATAATAACATTAACAAAACAGAATTCATCACTAAATGATTATAATCAGTTGAAAAAATTCTATTCGGATACTCTTGAATGTCCTTGTTCAATTATGACAATACCTTATCAGAAATTTATTTCATTTTCTCCAGTTTTACATCAGATCTGCAGGAGTGATTTTCTCACATATCGTTGGATGTCAATATTGAATCAAAGTAGTTTGAATGAAGTGTCCATTGATTGGCGAAGTGAAGCTTTTTCACAAGCTCAGCTTTTGTCAAATCTTTGTCAACTTGCTAATGAAACAATTCAGGATGCTATTCATCGTTTTCTGTTACAATATTTTGTTACTTTAAATATCTTGTCCGAAAATGATTTCACTTTACAAATGAATTCAACAGTCAATGAACTTTTACAATCGACTATTCTTTACTTTAATCTTCTTGTCGGAACAGTACGGCTTCTTATGCAAGTCGATCAGCCTTTAATGGGAATTCATCAACAGGATTCAAAAGACAATTTAGATTCTATCTCAAATATTGTAACAATTCTAACAGATGATGAGCAATTTTTACAGGTATGTCATTTCTGTATATAACTTACGGGCTTTTTCGATAAAAACAAAACAGCGAGATGAAAGCTTTATTTTTTCCTTTTAGTTAACCATCGGTTTGAGTACAACTCTCGATACAAATTACACATCGATCAATTGTATTTGTGCAACAAATTCAAACTGTAAAAGTCCAGTTGCCATCTATACTGTTAATTTTAATTCTCATGGTTATTTTGACTATAATATTGTGTATATAGTACCTGGAGCATACACAGGATGTTCTGCTACTGAATCTCTTTTATTATCGACATTTGAATGTTTCTATGCAGATTCCGAATGTTTTCCAAGTGTGATGACTTATATCAAAGAAATGTATGTTTATAATGTGGAAAATCCATCCTGGTTTGATGTTCATCCACTGGTATATGATCCAATGTCAAGTAATTATCCTCCGAGTACAACAATCTCCACTATTGTAGAAAATATGATGATTGAACAATGGAATTCAAGTTCGTCATATGAAAGTTTTTATAAATTATGCGCACCAAAGTATTGCACTTATTCGGAAAATCTTCGTAAGAATACGTCGATTGACGTGATTGTAGCATTGATATCGATGATTGGTGGTCTGTCTGTTTCACTACGCTTGATTATACCGCGTCTTGTCAAATTTATTACAAAATTATGGAAAATAATTACCAACAGACGACAAGAACAACAAACAGGTAATTATTAATCACAATTTACTTCTCACGAGGAGAAAATATGAATTCTGACTTTGTATAGTACAAATGAACGAGTCCGTCGGAATGAAAATATTCATATGGAATAGAATTATTTTATTATACAGTACAATAATCAATCTAAATATATTCTCATCACGAAATTTTGGACATGACGTTGATAGAGTGACAGTAAAACGTTTAGGTCAATGGGCAACACGTCTCTATATGGTTCTTTTCACCATCGGTATCATTATTTTCACATCGTATACGACCATTAAACCTTATGTTGGAAGAAAAACATTTGATAAACCATCATTTGATATCTACAATAAACTTTATGAAAAATATGATGAACGATTGAAATGCTCATGTTCATTAATTTCATTTACATACGATCGATTTGTCAATATTAATCTAACATTTCATCAGGTAAGAAATGAGAAGATCAACAATGGTATTTGTTATGTTTAATCCAATTTAGATCTGTTCAAGTACATTTACTTCGAACGAATGGCAAAGAAATTTATTAGATTATGCTCAAATTGACTATCGTCGTTTTCTCTCTTCTCATTTGCAATATCTTCAAGGATTATGCGAACTTTCTAGACAATCAGTAAACACTACTGTACAACAGTTTCTTTTCTCATTATTCATTGGTGATCAACTGTTTTCTGAACAGCATTTTAATGATCGTCTTCAATTACGAATTCAAACGGTTATATCTAGTGCTCCAACGATATTTTTAACACTTTTATCCTTCATTCGAAATATTAATCAAGGAAACGCTATTGTGTCAACTTATGGAACAAATTTTCGATATTTATATCCATTGAATAATCCTTCGAACACATACGCAATTACTCAACCAATTATCTATGATAACAATTGTTCTTGTGCGTTTTATTCAAATTGTACAACTCAAGCATATATTTTTCAAAGAAATTCTTCGGTAACGATACCAATAAAAGGTTTGAAAATCGGTTGTATACCTAGTGAATCATTTCGTTTATCCACTCTTGAATGTTTCTACGATCGAACATGTTTTGATCTTCTCCAACAATCTACAAATCATAGTGATTCTCTTCCATTAAATCAAAGTCGATTTGTAATCAACACAACAGTTGACGAACTTATTTCGAATTTGTTCATTGAACAATGGTCAATAACACCAAATTATTCATTATATTTTCAACAATGCTCACCTTCATCATGTTCATATACATTTGTTCAGAAGATCAATTTTCTATATACGATTACTTTGATACTTGGCTTTCAAGGAGGATTGAATATTGTTCTCAAATGGATTTGTCCACAAATAATTCAAATACTTCAGTTTAGAAAAAAACGAAAGATTCTTGCTCAAGTAACATTAGTGTTACCAACTATTGAACTTCATCAGTATGTTCTCTTTCATGTTTATCAAACTCATTCATTTTCTCTAATTAGAACGGTCGCAAACGCATCAGTTCGATATTCTTTCAAACTTTGTTTAGCACTTCTATCGATCTTGTTTCTAATCACTATTTTGATTATATTTTCCATTTTTGGTATTCAGAAGGATGACAATCCGGTTCAATCGACAGGTGAGTTCTTTTTATGAATTATTGAATGTCTACTAGAAAGATATATGGCTTACGAAATTAAAATCGAAAATGAAATTTTCTCGTAGTAAAACAGTTTACTGATCATCAAATGAAAATCGCTTGTTTTTTATCATTTCTTTATTAGTTCCTACAATGGTCGAAACAATCAGTAGTATAACAAATTCTACAACGAGTATGGAAATGCTAAGCACAAATACGAATGCTTCGGGTAAGATTTTTGTTTAATGTCATTGAAGATAAAGTTAAACTACATGTGATTGTGTTTCTCTGCTATGGAGCATTTGACGTACATGATTTTAAACTATGGTTGTAATTTATCACTTTCTTCTCATTCGTAGTGTCGACTTGTCCAGCTGAATTTCAAGTGATAAGAACGAATTTACCTGGTTATCTTAATTTGAAATTATCTGCTATGGGTGACGTGAACAACGACAATCAACTCGATCTCATATTTTTCTCTTCAACAACTTATACGATAAACACACAACTTGGTAATGGTAATGGAACATTTCGAGCATCGATTATGTCCGTTATAGGATACACAATGTTGCTAAATAAGCTTATTTTAAGTGATTTCAATCAAGACAAACAGCTAGACATCGCTTTCATTGAGACGAATGTACAGCAGATGGGTATCATGATTGGTTTTGGTAACGGAAGTTTTGCAATATCAGATCTAATCTCAACTGGAAATAATAGTTACCCATTCGACTTGATTGCCACTGATTTTAACAATGATAGTTATTCCGATCTGGCCATTGTTAATTATTGTGAACATTATATTGCCATATTTCTTGGCTATGGTAATGGCAGTTTTTTGTCACAAACAAATCTTTACACTGGTCATAACAGTTGTCCAACATCAATTGCCATCGTCGACTTTAATAGAGATGATCACGTAGATATCCTAGTAGTAAATCATATGAGTAAAACTATTGCTTTATTTCTTGGTTACGGCAATGGAAGTTTCCAAGTGCCAATAACATCTTTCGCTGGTGGTGGCAATTCTATCTATCCATATTATGTAGTTATTGCTGATTTCAATAGTGATTCTGTATTTGATGTCGCTCTCTCTTACACATCAATGTACTCTATTGGTATTATGTTTGGATATGTAAATGGATCATTTAGTACTAAAGTAAAGATTACCTTGGAATCATATACTGATAATTCTCCACTTATTGCTAATGATTTCAACTGTGATGGATATCTTGATATAATCATTGGACAAATTTCACCATCTGGTTTAATCATCTTAATAGGTAATGGAAATGGAGAATTTCGACTACAAATAATACTAAGTACACAAGATGATATATATTCTATTCCTTCCTTCATTGCTGGAGATTTGAATAATGATGGTTTTCAAGATCTGGTAGTTGGTAATCTACAGTCGTTTGTTCAATATACTCTCTCTAATATATGTCAGTGTTGTGTAGCTTGAAATTGTTGCAATATAAAAATATCGTTCTATTCTCATATCGAAAAAGTCTTCAATAACTTGCTTTTTCTGTAAAAGGCGTGTATTGAAATTCGCGTTCTCGATATGAACTAGTTCAGAATGAAAGTGATGCCTAATACTTACGTTGATTGACACATATATCATAAACAGTCATTTCAATGAATTTCTCATGTCTTCGACGTGTCTTTNTTCGCTTTTATTTTCTTCCATGTATTGTCGACAATCTGCTACAGTACGAAATAATTTGAAACATTTAGCCAATAGTTGTCGTCTTTTTCCTTCATGCGGATTAGTATTTAAATCAAGACAGGCTATTGTGAACGTGTGGAGCATATCAGTCATTGTTACGTTGATTAAATTTATACTAACTGTGGTAGTGCACTTTTAAGGGAAATACCCTATTTGTTTCGTCGCTTTGATTGTGATCAATAACATTTTTCTTATATTCACTAAGATTTTATGACGAAGAAAATTATGGCAATGCGCATTTTACGATTAAACAAGTTGGAAAAAACCAACATGGTGGAAAGAAGAAAGAAACAGGACAGATCCGAAAGATAATGAAGGCAAAACACATTGTTAGATGATCAAACATGTAAACTTGAAAGGTTAACCTGAAAATTGATCGGGTGAGGGTGAGGGTGAAGAACAATACCTTTCTCAAACTAAATCATTCGCACCTTGTCCATTTTTCGATGTTTGTATAATTTGCGTATTCGATATTTTTTTATTTTCGATCTTTTTAAATTCGATCTTTTTACTTTCGACATTATTCAGTAGAATCTTAGAAAAAGATTTTCCAGATAGTCTCGATTTAATCACAGAAGTATAGATGTCACCAGTGAGTCATGTATTAATTGTTAATTGAACGAACGAACGACCTCCTTATCTACATAGAACAAGATATCATTCATTTGAAATAAAACAATGACTAGTCTGCATAAATATCGATCAATTTTGTTAGTTTTCGGTGGAACTGGTACTTCTATTCAAGTGAAAATAAAATTGACCTACTTCTTTTTCTTTGTTAGTTCTAACGGGATGGTTGTACAATAAGTATTGGGTTAATCGTCGATATTTATCGACAAATCAATTAATGAATGGAAAAACAATTTTAATCACCGGTGGAAATACTGGAATTGGTTATGAAACAGCCAAGGATCTACTTAAACGAAATGCTCGTGTCGTCATCGCTTGTCGAAATTTGATTAAAGGTCGCGAAGCTATTGAAAATCTTCTCAAAGAAACGAATTGCTCCAAAACAAATCTTCGTTTAATGGAATGTGATTTGAGTTCATTGAATTCTGTTCGAAAATTCGCGAAATTATTCAACGAAGAAGAAAGACACTTGGATGTGTTGATCTGTAATGCTGGTTTAGGTTATTCTCCACAAAAACAAACGGAAGATGGTTTCGATTCTGTTATTCAGAGCAATTACCTTTCACATTTCTTATTGACAAATCTTTTGTTAGACAAATTGAAGAAATCCGAATCAGCAAGGATTATCAATGTTTCATCTGATCTTCATCGATTAGTCAAAAAACCAATTGATTGGTCCGATGCATTTACACAAAGAAATTCGTCGGGGATGATGGGATCGTATCCCGTGTCGAAATTATTTCAAATTTTATCATCGTATCAATTTAAAAAGAATTTGTCTGATGATGAACATGTGAATGTCTTTTGTTTGACTCCAGGTTTTGTCTCAACATCAATCAAAGATCCATTGGAAGAGAAAATCGGAAGTCTCCTTTCGCTGATTTATTATCCGATCATGTGTATTTCTAAATGGGTGTTCGCAAAAACTGCTCAATGCGGTGCGCAAACATCGATTTATTGTGCAGTTGAACCAAGTTTAGACAGAGCAAAATCGTTATACTTTCAGTTCGTTTTGTCTTTTGCATTTTGAAAAAATTTCTTTTTCTTTTGTTTTCAATAGAAACTGTGCTGTTTGCCAATCCTCGCCATTAAGTATCGACCCTGAATCGGCACGAAAACTATGGGATCTCAGTTGTCAAGCGGTTGGACTTTGATTTTCGAAATAACTTGTAGAGTTGTCTCTTACTATTACCTGAAATGATAGTCGTTGGGTTTTTTCCTACATTGAATGCGTTGTCGTCTGTGTCTGACGTATAAAGAAACACAAGAACGAAAAAAAAAGAAAGTATTCGTAATTTTATTTCACTGAGAAACTAACCACTGACGTGTAGTCCACTCGGTACACATGTGCAGATAAGAACGACAAAACATTCTTTCACATAGAAGAAGAAAGAGGACGCCGTGCAGACGGCAATAGAATCAAATATATATGTATGTTGTGTGATATGCGAGTTTATTATTACGCATTTGTCGCTTGCAACTGAAAGGACGAGAAAAAAAATCAATAAGGTATGTTGGAAAGATAAAAACTTTGAGTTATAGTGAAGTGGATCGATTTCATATTCATATTTTCAGCGTTCTTCGTCTATTAATACATTGAAAGATGTTCAAATCATCGCACAAGACTGTTCAAGAAAAACAGGCAGAAACCACGAAGTCTATTAATGAAGCTTATGATGTATATGTTCAGGAAAAAGTAAGAAAAGTTGTTCTCAAGAATGTCCTGCTGATCGGTCGAACTCGTACTGGCAAAAGTACAATAAAAAATGTTCTAGTCGATCCTCGTAAGATAGGTACATCATCGACACTCTACGCAGAAACACGAGTTGCTGAATTCCAATCATATATCGTCGAAGGTGCAAAAGCTGACATAGACCAATCAACTGATTCAATAAATACAGAAAATGAAGGAGAACAACAACGCAATGAAAAAACGAACACAAATTTAGAGTTTATGAAAGAAGAAGAAGCCGTTACTGTGTTGAATATCATTGATACACCCGGATTATTTGAACATGGATCGGCATCTCACAAAATCAAAGACAACGAAACGATTCTTAACACAATTGAAACATGTATCAACCGAGAAATTACGAAATTTCATCTGGTTTGTTTCTGTGCGTCATTCGAATCCGGTATTAACAATGAAGATATAAAATCTTTAAAACTCTTAATCAATTTTCTTGGAGAAGATGTTTCCAAGAATTCCTGTTTGATCATTACTCGCTGCGAATCGAAGAGCGAAGAAGATCGTAAGCTACTGGTCAACGAAATCAACAGTGATGTCCATTTCAAGGATATTGTTTCGTACTTTCAGAAAGGGATTTATTTTAACGGTGTTTTAAACCGAGATAATTGGTCGCAGGGCCACAAGGAGACACTCGAACATCAATTCGAAACGATTTGCGGATATCGAACAAAGTTAATCAAGCTATTCAGTACGGCAACTGATCCATACGAAATCAAGAATTGTGATTTTACGGAATTACGAAAACTTGCAGAAAGCAATGAAGAACTTTTAGAGGAGATCGAAAGATTAAAATCAGAGCAAAACAATAATAAATTCTGTACCATTTCATAAAAATAAATGCGACACGTTCGTTATTTTTTAAAATATCTTTCAGATAATGTTTCCTCGAGAAAATCAGTCGAATTCCAATAAACACGTCACACAAGAATCAATAGTCAATCAGATAAAAGAACTTTACAGAGCAAAACAAAGAAACACGCCATCCAATCAAAATAATCTACAGAAAAACATCCTCATCATCGGTCGGCAACACATCGGAAAAACGACTTTAAAAAATGTTCTACAAGATCCTTGTTACATACCAAATAACTCCTCATTATTTTCGGGAGCACCTTCAACGATTCTTTATCCACCATTTTCATTGCGCGATTCAAATCTTTCATTAACTATTATCGAAACATCTGAACCTTTCAATGGATCAATGAGACAAAAAGACACATCGATCAACAATGTGCATAACTTTTGCATTGAAAACAACATCCGAAAAGTTCATCTGATATGTTTTTGTACATCGTTCGAAGCGGGAGTCAATGACGCAGATATTGATATTTTACATAAACTAGTCAATTATTTCGGCGAACCGATTTGTTCGAATTTATGTTTGGTCATTACTCGATGTGAATTGAAAGGTGAACGAGAACGTCAACGTCTATTAGATGAAATTGAAAACGATGTCAATTTTCGAACAGTTGTACCATATTTTCGTCAAGGAATTTATTTTTCTGGTTCAATAAGCCACGATGGAGTGAATCGAAAAGATTTGGAATTGGTTACTGAGCAATTTGAAACTGTTTATGATTACCGACGAAATCTTATTCAATTGCTTCGGAATATTAAAAAACCATTTAACATTGATCAAAGACAACGATCGCAACCAGACGAAAGACGCGCAATTCTACCCGGTACTTCTAGGTCGCACGATGGCGTTCGTCAACATCGAAAATGCTGTGAGATTTTGTAGTATAGTCAGATGTTCTTCTGCTAGTTTACCTATCTTCGAAATAAATCATTTTCATCAGTATACCGTCAGATTCATTTCGACTATGAAGAACTATAGTAGACGTAGTATGACTTGGATGATTGTATACCTAAATTTGAACTATTATACATTTTTGTAACTTGAAAACCAACGAATGAACTTTCTTCTGAAACGGAGTCTTTTTCTTTTATAGTTTCAATTTCAAAGATTGCCGCTCTATCAATTGTATTATTATCAATATATCTCTTCATTCCATGGCTGACTACACAACCAGAACAACCACAGCGATTTGAACTGGACAAAGATTGGGTAGATCATTTCACTAAGGGATCTCGAGCTGTGAATCATCTGAATCGTGTGATAATATTTTCCTCTAAAGACCATCTACAATTGGATTCCAATGACGAATTACATTCTTTTCTATTGCAACAATCAGTTGAAATGAAAAATCTTCTAAATAAATTCAACCAAATCAATGATCTCATCTTGGAAAATTCTTCAAACTGGTTGTCTTCTTTTCACAGTATTCAAAGTGAAGCTGATGATCCGGAAACATTGGATTTCTTTTGGAAAAACATCACAGATATCAAAGAAACATTCGAACGATTTGTCAATGAATTTCCTCTGAAGCAAAGTTCACAATTCGATGAATTTATTCGTATTTTGACCATAACATCTTCAAATAAGCAAAAGATTTACGATGAAACATGGATTCAAATTCCTTCAGATGAACAAATCGACGAAAAAACGGAAGAAATCAAATCCAAATCCGAACTTGAAAAACGCGCTGACGAACATTACAACAAAATGTTACTTTCATACAAAAATCGTCGAGGAACAAAAGAAGATGTCGAAAAAGCATTAGCAGCTGTGAAAAAGGCTCGTGAAGAACACATTTACGCACAGACATGTCTTCAATCAACAGTTGACCAAAATCAAACCATCCAATTCGAACAAATCAAACGCGAATATGATTTGGAGTTCTTAACAAACATTACCGACGAAGTAAAGACATTATCCGAACATTGGTCACACTTTCAGCAGTCCTTCGCGATACTTTCACAACATGTTCAATTCACAAAACAAGTCTGTTTTGCTTTTTTTCTCTCCTGATTTGACCAGCAGATATCATTTTAGATTCTCAATGACAAACTATTGACTTCCGGAGATGAGCGAATGAGTTTGATGGGAACGCGATCGTTGATTGTAAAGGAATGTCATCGACAAATGAGATTAATTCATCAGTTATGTCAAGCACTGCATATTTCGCTGAAATCTATGATCGACCAATTGAATAACAATGAGAAATATTTTCATTGCGACAATGAACAACAACGACATGATTATTTACAGGAGTTAAATCAGCCAAATGAAGAACTTCCTTCGATATTAAAATCTCTGACAGAATTCACTCAGGTAGAAGAAAAACAAGATATTGACGGATGATAATGGATATTGTTTATACAAGAAATATATTCGACTTTCTTTTCTTTGTTATGTTTTGTTTCGTATCGCACGGAAATATGTTGATAAAATCGAACATGTCTTTTCCTCGTCTTGTCAGAAAGAGTACCGATCAGAATCTTGTGTTTGTCAAGTACGAATTGTTAATTTGTGGAGTTTGAAATTTGAAATATTTGATCCAAACTTGAATCAGATGTGAACTCATCAATAGGGCCATGATTAAGATGATTAACCAAGCCTAACGAAAAATTTTGAAAGATAAACAATTAAGTTTCACTTACTTTCCATGATTGATTGATCTCATCGACTAGTTTTATTAATAAAAGTTGAATAAAAGTAAAACCACCGACGAAGCTCCACATAATTCCAGTCAAACGGCCGATGTATCGAGATGGAAAACTGTTTTCTTTGAATTATTCTTTTAAATTATCGAGAAGAAGTGAAACTTACAACGTTGAAATCACCGATTGACATCCAGCGACAACTGTCGAACGACAGAAACAGTTCAATACTAAAATTGGAATGACGATGTTCGGTGTCGATGGAAACATAGTTATCAAACACAAAATCGCATTTAATAACCAAGAAATCGTTTCAACGATCGAAATATTCAACAGTTTCTGTTTTTGACCTTCAAAACAAAACTTTATTCTCTCCAAAAAAAAGCTTTTCCCATTTACTTCGATCCGCTTTGAAGCCGAGTAAATAACCATTAAGTGGACAAATAACGATTGCCGATAGTGTTGAAATGTTATATGCGAATGTATACGATCGACTTGATGATTTGTTTTGATTTGTAATAAACTGTATCAACGGTTGCCAAACAACCGAAAGAAATACGGTTGGAATGATAAGAACACTCAGAAACAAAACAACGGAGATATACAAAGGATCTCGAAGAGTTTTCCAGAAATTAATTTCGTGATTTTGATCGGCAGTTGATTCAAGTTGAATATCAAATTTGTAGGGTAAATTCCAAAACGAATAATTCCAATCGAGGAAAAGAAACGACGTTAAGAAGATCAGCAGACCGAATCCCAACCAAACGTATGCCAATGTGCTCAATTCACAAGAATTTCTATCAATCAAAATCTTGAAAAACGAAATTTTTCGAAAGTATTCATTTTTTCCGTTTGATTACTTGAAAAACTGCGAACCACATCGTCGCGGAGATTCCCGCTCCTGCTAAAAGTGAAGAAACAAGCGCACGGGACTTGGAAAAGTAATTCGCAGATGTATAACTCGTCAGCAGGATCATAATTCCACTGATGGAGGAAAATATACAATGAAGATACATTAACCAATCGCGACCTTTGGGTAAACGAGATTATTAGGATGGAAAAAAAAGAATTTTCAGTCACCTGGCTTAAGTAATGCCAAGGATAACCATCCGATGATGTGAAAAATTCTGAAAAAAAAAAGAAGTTTTTCGCGGAAATTTTGGGAGAAAATGAGATTTTACATTGAAATTAGTTTAACAAATCGACAACCGAATTTGTCGATTAGAATTCCGATGAAAAAAGCGGGTGAATCGAATGCAGCGATTCCAATTGTCAATGCGTTCTTTCGAGAAAAAAATAATAAAGACAAAGCAGAAAAGGACAAAACATTACTTGAAAATGTTTAATTTGAGATGAATTTTGATAAATTTTCATTTGACTTAAAATAGGAAAAAGTGCTGGAAAGCCGAAAATAGTTCCACCAAGTAAATTCATTTCAATCAGCAAAATCAAAACTCCCAACGATTTATAAAAATTCGGATTCCTTCTCACAAATTCCATTTTCTTCAAATGATCAAATTCCTCAAATCACATTTATTCTCCGCTCAACCATCACGTTCACAATTCAATCTCATCTTCATCATCATGACCTTCACATGATAGAAATCGATCCACAATCAAAGATTCTACACGTACTGGGCGTGAAATCTTATATGAAATCATTTTTATTAATTGCTATTACACATATTGGAGCGTTCGTGAAAGAACAATAGATGAGTGGCGAAACGGTTAGTTTTTCAAACCAAGACGTGATCCTTCACTTGGAGGTTGTGTGTTTAGACTATTTTTAGTTGGAGAGAAAGAGATGAGATGTATGGACTTGGCGAAGTTATCAAGTAAACAGTGATTTTGTTGATGAAAAACTGAGTATTTTAAGACTGAGCGTGATTTCAAATGTGAATAATCTTCGGTATTTTCGAGTAAAACTAATGACGTGGCTACTTTTATGATAAAAGTATGTAGAAAAAAATCGAGTTGATTGTACCAAAACGTGGTATGAAGAATAAACGAAATAATGAATGATGAAAAGATAATACGAAACAATGACGCATTTTTATGCTCGAGTGATTATATTTTTTTTGTCCATGAAGAACAAAATGTATAAATAACAGAACAATATTATCTTGTTTTCAGTCTCATTTTTATTTCTAAATACCAAAGGTTGCTTATTCGTTTTCAATACAATATGTACGGAAGTAATCCCTTCGCTGGTGGCTTTGGAGAATTAGCCTCGGATTTTGCCATCAACAGTCTCGTACCTGGTGGATTGAACAGTAAAGTCTACGACGGAAAATTCTTCTTTTTTTTATGCAATTTCTTTGTTTCAGGTCCAATGGGAATGATTGTTGACAATATGTTCGGCGGAAATCCAAATGGTGGATTTGGAATGGGCGGTGGAATGGGTGGAAACTTTGGAATGGGTGGTGGATTTGGAGGCCATCAGCCCTATGGCGGAGGTTTCGGTGGAGGTTATAATGGTGGTTATGGAGGTGGTTATGGATATTATTAAGCGATTTAACGAAGGTTTTTCTAATAATGTACAGATAAAAAGAGATTTTTATCAAAAAATAAACTTATGATATTATTCAAACGGAAAGGCTCTGTTGATCTAAATGAATGAATGCTTTCATCAGATTTAAATATTGTCGGTGTTTGAAGAAAAATCTGCTGACGTATAAAAGAAAGAACGTTTTGCAAATGCGTTTGAAACATCGGATAGAGATTCTTCATTGTTTTTCTCCTTTTTGCTCCATCGATTTTGATTCGAACTTGTTTTATCTCCCGAGTTATCAATGCGAAAAATCCAATTCTCGTCGAACTCGCCGTGCTGCAAACGGTGAAGTTATCTTGTGAAACCGAACGTGAGTGCTTATAGAAACTTTGTTTTGCATAGAATCTTGGCTTTTTTTCAAGATTTGACCTGCGATCCATTTTGGAAGATGCCGTCGGAAGATCAAGGAACAAATTTTATGTATGCTAATACGAATACGTTGATCAATGGAAATCAAAATCGTAGTGTTTGTGTTTTGTTTCCTGCGAAGAAATTTATTGATGAAAAGATTTCGTTTTTTGCAATGGCGATTCATAATGAAACACTTGAGAATGTTTTGGGAAGATATGAAGATTATGATAATCTTCACATTCCAATTTATTCTACGATGGATTACTTCATCAGATTTGTTTGACTTATGATAATTTCAATTCGAATCTCTGTTCTTATTTCGATTTACAAGCACCGAAATGCATTCAAAGACAAAATCCAGCTTACAATACAAGTTTAGGCGACGTCGGATTGGTTGGTCGACCCACGCAACTTTTGTCAACAGATGGAGTTACTATTAAATCAGTTGCGTTCTATGAATATAGAGGAAAAACTCTGATAGTATGACGTACAATAGAAAATCGATCCTTTTCATGGTTAATGCAGATTATCTGAATCAAAGATATACAAAAAAGCGGAAGTCTGAAACACAAAGTTGTTAGCACGTACACGAAAACAAAACAAAACTTTACTGTCTGTCAGGAGATCAATACATTATTACCATAAGTATAATTTTCTTCCAGCATGTGTTACTTTGTAATCAGTAGATAATACTTTAGATTGAATTAAGCCAGTCAGATGTCGAAAATACACTTCACCTGCATATGTAAAACATGTTAATAGTAGATCAGGGGTATTTTGCTTTACTAAAAGTTGTAATATAACTTTCATATCTTTCATATATGTATTCATTGCAAGATACTGAATACGAGGAAATAACTTTATAAGTAATTCGATTTTGTCTGGCGTAGATCGTTCTTTAAAACTGATATTCGTGATGGAATTTGTCTCTGACAATAATTGAAATTTGTCGTTTTGTTCAATGGATTTTCCTTCTTCTTTGTAAAGAGGCATTGTTTGAAATGCTAATATTTGAAGATTAGGAATACATGATAATAAGTCAATCATTTTCATCAGAGAAAAATGATGACATTTGATCACTAAAGTTTTTATTCGTTGTAAAGATAAAATACGATTGACACCGACTGAAAGTAGCAAATAGCCAGCGCTTGAAAATTGATCTTCGAAAGTAAGTTTATTAGCATTCGGGAAGTAAGACATAGACTGATTCATTGCTCTTTCATCTCCAATTTCAACATGGTCAACTGAGTAGAACATTGTTCGAATTTCATCTGTGAAACTTTCTTCATTGGATTGTTTATATATTCTATAATCTTTTTTTCTAAAATACGTTATGAAACATAACTCTTAAACCTTGTGAAAAACCTCGTCATTAGTATTTACCGATATGCATTCACTGAAAAGAAAAGTTTTTGCTCTGGGTATCGAAGTCGAATTATTTCAGAATGAAAAAACCATTGACGTTCAATCCAAAACGATGATTGAAATTGAGTAACTTGCTCTTCATACGCTACATCTTTTGCATTATTATATGAATAAAATTTAAACCTGACATCAAAAATACGTAATTTTGATAGATGTGTCGATATCAATTGTTTCCATTTGTTCGCATCTAAAGTCGTTAGCGATACAGAGAGACGTAAAACCTCAACAAGAGAAAAATGATTGATAAGAATACGTTCCAATGTCTCGAATCTCAGTTGGTAAGTTGATTTCAGAGATAGATGTGTTAAACTGTCTAGAACATGACATGGTACATTGATTAGTGAATATTCATAATCTGATGATAATTGTAAAGAAAGATGACGTAGTCGAGGGACATATGAAAGAAAACTATTGAGCTGGATATATTTGATTTGATGATCAATAACTAAATGTTCGATCGAACTTTGTTCGTTCAGGTGAATCGATGATACATCACATGATTGATACCTTGGATTTTCCAATAATAATTTGAAATAACGTAATGAAGGTAAACGAAAGATTTGTTCATAAATACCAATTTTATCTTTAACTGTATCGATAATCATAATACTCAATGAAGATAAATGTGATAACGAAATTAATTGATTGGCCAGATTTTGTAAGCATTCAGACTCAATGTTTTCGATGACAAGTGATCGAAGGAATGTCATTTGTGTTAATGGAAGTGTTTGTTCATCATACATAAAATAATGTGAAACGTGAATGGAATGAATTCGTTGAATGTTGGGTTGAATAATATCATTATTGTAACGATGAAATGTTGATGGAGACATGAGAGGAATGTTGATTCGAAGTGGAAGATTTGATTCTATGAGAAAAGATTGAAATCGATAATTGAGACTGGAAAATGCTTTGTGAACATGATAAGAATCAAGATAATCAAAAATTTCATAGATAATTTCGTTCGCGAGATCTTCAAATCGTGTAACACAACTAAATCATAGAAATAATAAAAAAAGAAATTCTCATGGAAGATTAATTCTTTTCAACATACCAATCATCGGTTTTCTGTCTTTTATTGTCGTTGAAACTATCACATCGTTGACGTTTGATTTGATCCATTCGAAACTATTCGATGTTTAACGAAAACTTTCATTTGTTTATATCTCTTCATGTGACTTACTTCGAGTCGATGAAATTGCGACTGAGACGTAGAAAAGGAAAAAACACAAATGAGTCATTCAATTCGGACGATATATTGAAAATTTCCAACATGCGAATGAGTAATCGGATTCTTTAGCAAGAATTCCTACTTGTGTGTTTGCCAATACAATAAGTATAGCGTTAGACATTTGCTAAGTCCAAATTTGCATCGCATCCAAACGAATAGAATTATTGTCCGGATGTGGTAAATCCAATTATAGAACACACAATTTAAGCTGATATAAGTAGTATAATAGGAGAGAAAGGAAATGAGCATTTACGACAAGAATGCTTTAAACCAACTTCGATTGACTTCGAAAGTTCTTCAAATGATCAATATGGTTAGATTTTATCATTTATATTAGAATTTAGAAAATATTTACATCTTGGACTAATAAAGAATAAAGCAAGAATTCCAGAGATCTTGAGAAAAGACGTTACTGATATGAGAGAGGAAGGCTCTAAAACACGAAGGAGCCATGAAGTCAAGAGAATAGTTGAAGTCCTAAGAAATAAGCACGCATAGAAGATTAAACGAAGTGGGGATTGGTAAGTGACGTAAAATCTATACTGTAGAGCCTTCCGTCTTCTTTTGTGAGACAATCCTCTCGGTAGTATACTCAACACCGATCAAAGCACTATTTACAAAGAACTAACAAAGACTTGTGTAGATACTGTTGTTTATAGCTATCTGCTTCATGCAATCTAAATCGTATTTTCGCACAGTCGCATGGTAACAATTGATTCACATTAGAAATAGACGGCGATCTAAATATTTTGACGGAAAAACAAACAACAATTGTTCTTCCATAGATATTTTATTTTCATGTGAAACATCTAAAATATGACAAAAAATTCAGACAATTACTCCATTTATTTGAGATAACATCAACGCTGCTCTGGTAAGTAATACGCTGTTGATACTACAGTAACTCTTACTAACCCCTGATAGGCTCTTTTTGAAATATCCACATATTTAAGGATTCTATCATGGCACGTGGTCAGTAAAGAACTAAAGACTGGTACACAACCTGAAGTGAGTTATGTGTCAGATTTAGGTTTCTATAAATATTTACACTTGCAGCTTTTCCTACATTGCAGCTACTGCGAGAGTAAAAAAATACGAACAGAGACTGGTACCAAAGGTTTGCCATTGCTGCAAAAAAAGTAATCGTATATCTTTCTTTTTTCAAAGAATGGTATTTATCGAGCTTGATGTTTTCGCTGAAGCTGAGATTTTGTATGCAGCAAATCCAATTCCAGTCAGATTCAATGAAATCTTCATCGTTTTTAAATAACAAAGAATCGCCAATACACGTCTGGAAAAGTTAATCGAATTCTAACGAAGACTTGGTCGTATTTGAGTCCTGTCATCAAGAAATTCAGAGAACTGTGCAAAACATGTTTGTTCCCATTCATTCCCATTTCTTATTAATTCGTATTGAAATGAAATTCAAGAAAGCGTGAATTTGAATTTGACTGGAATGGGATTTGGTTCATATCTAGCTAACATTGAAGTCACAGAACTTTTTAATATTCCTTTTAGTACATTTCATGATCGCCGCCACTTTTATTGCTCTATTTCAAACTAATTTTATTCGTGCTGAATTTAGTATTAATAGTGTTGACAGTGAGTGCCCGAAATAACTTCATTCTTATGATTGTGACAGCCATATCAAAGGAGGGTGAATGTTCCAGTGTAAATTTGATCATTTTCCTTTCATCTATACTTACAACCTCACCTGAAAATTAAGCAAATATGTTGTGAAAAGGCTTTTATCATGAGGGTCACTTCTTTTCTTTTCTTTATTTTCCAAGATATATCTGTAAAATAGTCCGGGATCGCTGCCTAAGGGTAATGAAAACTACGAATTAAAAATCAATCAATTCATAAAAGAAGAAATGTCTGAAAAATTGAACGGTCCATTGAGTTTATTTAAGAGCGTCGATGTACACATTTCCAATGTACTTGTACGTCCCCCTGGTTATTTTCAAGACGAACTAAGCACATCTGGTCTTGATCTCGTATGAAAAATGCAGGATACGCCTATAAAAAAGTATAGAAATCCTCTTGTAAGGAAAACAACACAAAATATAAGGACACATTGTCAGAATACCTGATTATTCGATGAATTATTTGGTGATGTTGGAGGACCTACTGTGATTTCATCTCGAGGCCAAAATCTTAAATCAATAATGGCACATATAGTAAAAAAATATCTCGTAATATATTAACTGAAAGTTTACCGCCGGTGCCGCGGTCGTTTTTGCCAGTCACAGGTGTGCCTAAATATACGCTGAAGATTCTCCGCGTCGTCCATCGCTCTGCGAATGCGTTGATTATCAGGAATCTGAAGAAAATTGTTAAATGAAAAGTTCCATCTGTTAGAATTGTGAATGTATTGTTGAATAGCTTGATTATAATGGGCAAGCTGATTACGTTGTTGTTTTTGTTTTAAGTAATTTATAAACGGTATCAAACCCAAACCATAATTATTTGCTATGTCCCTGTATATGTCCAATAGAGAATGGAGTGCTCTGCGGATTCTATTGTGCAAAACTGATCTGTTCTCTTGTGGCATGGCATCGTATGGATTGTTTTCTAACTCTGCCGAACACCAAGATAATGCTAGTTCTCTCAGTTGTACTTCTCCAATAAGACTGGCTGGGAAATCTCGATTTACGTTTGGAACATCAGATCGTCTTTCAATTTCTGCCATTTCGCCGATGACATTAAGTATGTGCGTATTACATCCTCTTGTTTCGCAAATATGATTCCTCTGATATACGTAGCCATGAATATCACGTACAGCAACATTGAACAAATCAGCAATTAATATCAGCCGAATTTGATTATTCTCCAGATTGTTAATGCTTTTTTGAAGTGCACTTTGCATTGAAGAAAGACTAACGGAGAAATCTTCTAGCATTTCTGTTATTAAAAGTTGTAGACGAGCTTTCATTGTATCTATCCACATTTGAGTTCCGTCATTTGCACTACACCCGATGAGGTACAAATCTATTAGAGCCTGAGTCAAAGTAGTTACTTCAACCGACCTAGCATCAAGAAATCTTTGATTTCCCATACATGCTATGATAAAATCATCATAAAAATCACGCAGAAATTGTTTTTCATTTTCATCTGTTAATGTTGCATAATAATTATTTATGTGGTACATAGTAAGACAGATATGTTCTTCCGCAGTTTCAACAATGTTTGAAATCGTCGATTCGAACAATTCCGACATTTCTGTGACGAAATTCGAACGTAGTAAAGTAAAATTAAATACTTGATAGATATAACTGCAGAAAAAGTGAGAAAACCAGAGTTTCTCTTGCAAACTAAAAAAGAAAAATAGTGATAAGAAACTATAGACGGCAAGCTGTTCCCAGTACTAGTCTCATTCGATCTCTCCAACTAAACCAACATAAAATGGGACAAAAAGAAAAAAATTCACAGTAGAATACTGCATTTTTTGTCGTCCAATGAACTGTTCTTATCGTTACTGTTTCCTCGTTCTGGCAACAAGTGTGTATATACACCATTAACGTTTTTTCTTCCCGTTTTCAAATTTTAATACAACTATCTAACTATGTTTGTTAGCGATCATATCATTCTCGCTACTCTTCTCTCTCACGTCTTGTATGCGTGCAAGAATGTTATCTACAGTAACATTCTTTTCGGCTTTTGTTCTTTGTTCTTGAGAGAGAGAAGATATGTCTGGATATATATCCTCTATTCGACTCGAATAGATGATTATTTTCGTCGAGTTGCTGTCTTCGTTTTTGTGGGGGATGTATTGATCATTAAGAAAGCTCACAATGTTTAACATAAATTCGGTTCATTTTACGATAGAATGGTGTTCACGACTGATTAATCTCTGTGAACATGAGTCGTCGAAAAGCTCGTTAATCACCATCCAAGAGTATTTAAGGAAAGTGGAAGATGTACCCATATTCGATGAAACTAGAACAAAATTGATTACTGGTGTGCATGAAAAACTATGCGATGTACATGAATCGCCACTAATTACCGATCAAATTATAAAGAACACTTTAACTTCTGTATCGCATAGACTTCAAGCAACCGCTGAAGCTACCAAACAATCATTAGAACCAAAACTTCTCTTTTTGACCGTTTTGTCCAAGTTCTACTCGTGCTTTAACAGTCTATTCTTGATTATTTCTTGTCCAATTACTTATTCGAAAATGATAGAAAAAATACCCAAAGAAAAGGGCGCTTTACTTCAAGAACTTCTGACTACGGCCCGTGATGATATAATCACAAAGCTTATGAAAGCCAATAAGTCTTACAATAACTATTTCAGTGAAGATGTACTTGCTTACTTACGAGCGGAAAAATACAATGAAAACGAATATGTGCAAGAGACGTTTACGATCATTCAGGAGATCGAAAAAGATCTCAAATTACCAAGAAGCTGGTTGCTTGAATTTATTACAGACAATGTTAAAATCGATATATATTATAATTTTACCTTGGCGAATTCGTTGCAAGAGTACATTCAGATGTGTGATAAAGAACAAAGAGATATATCAATAGATGATTTTGTTAAATCTAACAAATTTACTTTTAAAGTCGAAGAATATTACACTACTCTATTCAAATCCTATGCGCAAAAACTTCGCCAAGGAACTATTGGGTATGCAAAAACAAAAACAGTATGTACCGATTGATAATTTGAACGCTGATTGATGATATAAACTTCCACCTTATAGGAGGATGAAGAGTCACGAATTCTAGAAACGAAGGTGTGCGAGGCAGGAGACGGTAAGTGATTTGACAAGATTTTAGATAAAACCTTGAATATACCAGAGGATTACTTACTAAGGTCTATCCACGCCCATACGCCACCTTCGAGAACTTCACTCAGTACTGCGTACTGTTGATTTGATAAAACCTTGTATGGAATCACTTTTCGAGCCCATCGTAGATGCATTTCGTGTATTTCATGTATGACATCTTTTCTTTTATGCAGACATTTATATATAAAATGCAATTTGTATTTAAGAATGGTAATAAAATTATGCCCATCACGTGGAGTGAAACCATAACAGCAACAGGTGTCTCCACGGTGAAATTATCAACTGAAGAACCAACCTTTGAGCAAGCGGTGTCGAAGCCTGTAGATTCACCATCAAGTGTGAGTATTATTTTTTATCTTGCTCATTACTAGAAATCCTACTACTACACATCTTTAATAGGGCAATGTTTATATAATCATCGACTTGGACAGTCTTGAACGTAAAGGGACGTTGCGCGAAGCTGCAGTTTTGTATTATTACATGACTAAGGACAAACTTGACAAAAAATTATTTGCTGAAGAGTCAATGTTTGACTCACAGGAGGAGATTCACCGTCGTTTCAACAAAAAATCTGAAAAGTTCGATGAATTGAAGAATGGTAGACCAATCCCGTACCATATTAATAATCCATCGATGTTATTACGTATATGTGCTCACGTCGAATCAACTGAGTCGTATTTACCACCGAAAGATCAATGCTTTGTCGTTTCGTCAGACGCAAGAACTTTAAACACTTCCCTAACTGAAGTATCAACTCTGTCTTATCCCAACAAACGCGATCCTCGAGACAAATCCAAATCTGGTTCATTTTTTGCTTCACGCAACGTTTCGGATCCATATCTGCTAAGCACACTGCCCTGCAACGATGATTCACAAACTTTGTGCATACTGGCGACGCAGATCACCAGAGTTGTCTGTCAGAAAAATACAAAAAGAGCACGTCTCTGTATTATTTCCGATAGAGTTACCGCACTTAGACCTGCAATAGATTTGGCGATCGAAAACAACATTTCAGTCGATGTCTGGACTTGGAAGTCAACTATTGAAAACGAAGAGCAGTACGAACGTCTTCTTAAATTCTACGATCTCAAAAAGTGTTGGGATCAATTCGGTGAGCATCAACCGATTGCTGAGCCATATTGGTGTATTCTATTTAAGAAATCCAAATCAAATTCTACCGGTTCAATATACAGAGCTTTACTACAATTAGAAAGTTCCCATGTGTCTCCAAAATTGGGTAGCTCCGGTCTCTACTCGTCTGGACTCCAGTCCGACTTCGAGACTGAGCTGTTTATGATGTCGGCTTCGACTTGGTTCCCAAGTTCATTGGCTGTCCTTATGCACCAAATTCCATTGACTCCGGCCCCAACTCTGGTTTCAAATACTAATGCCTACCGACACAAGGTACCAAAAGTGGAAAATAATTTTTCTCACGTCCTCGTGCATGGCACAGACGACGAATATTTTCTGGCATTTCGTAATGAGAATTACCGAAAATGTTTTCAAATTCAGCTAAAACAGAAAAGGGAAACGTGGGCAAATATATTGGATATCGATTCAGCCAAACTGTATGACTACAAACCAGCGTGCTCTATTTAATCGAAGAAATTTTTTTCAATAAATATTCGCGAATAAAAAAGAAATATACATAGCATATGTGGAGCAAGCTGAACGAAAGAGCATGAATGAGGATGAAAGTGAACTTATCATCTTCTTTGTAGAAACAATCAAAGTGATGCATTTGGATGTTAATGTGGTGAAAGATTGCATTGAAAATATATTGTTTTTCAAAGTTTATTCGAATTTGTTACATCATAAAAGGAATCTTTTGATTTACAGGATTTTAATTAGCCGGAACAATTTCATTTGATTTACAACGAGAACAACTAACATTTCATCCGGGTGTTGCGAATACTTGACTATTCGTCCTATCATAATATATTCCTCCTGATTCAATACAGTCAGTTCGTGTTCCACACGAACATCCAGTTTTCATCGTCACTGAACTAATTGGAATTGTCGTGTAAGTTCTGTTTAAATCGATCGACCACTTATAATTCAGAAGGTAGGAAGAGATTAAACCATTGCCATCCATCACATTGTGCAGTAGATCTACACTGCGCGAAAACTGTGCTGTTGTTATTTGCTGAGATTGTAAGATAAAATTGCTGATGTTAATTCGAAGCTGAAACTCCGATCGAGGAATCAGTTGAGTATTGATAAAGGTTTCATTAAGAAATTGATCAATCGCATGTTGAACTGTGGTCTTTGATAATTGTCATAAAGTGGAAAGAAATGTAAAATAGATTCCTCGACGTGAACGTACATCCACTCGATAATGATCCAGCCAATTGCCTTGATCAAACAAATAATCACGCCATTCTGCCTGGACGAAGTCACTCGAACAAATCTCATGAAAGATGGCATCAACACGAAGAAAACTCTTATATTGAACTGAAATATTATTACAAGGACATTGAAATGACGTTGAATACAACGTCATTAACTTTTTGTAATCACTTTCCATGGGATTGTAGACCGTGATGTTCATAGTTCCGTTGGAAAACATTGAATAAAGTATTATGGAATATAACGGGAACAATAAGAGAAATAGATACACTTGTGTAGTTATTCGTTCGTGATGAATAGTTCTGGTATCATTTGATTCGCTGTCAAAAACATTTAAAATAATAATTCTCGTAGGAATAAGTCACATTCCAATCTTCAATCATCAGATGATTCAAAATCGACTCAGCTGATGCTGTTGTGGCATATCGATTCGGAACTGTTGAGCTAAGTATTCTTGGGAAACGAGGTACAGCTGCACCCGCATCCTTCAAGACTCGTGTCAACGTAGAGTTCAAGTCATCATTTAACCAAGATACAAACGATGATCTGAACACAGTATCAACCATAGTATAACCTCCAATTATTCCAGGAAGTCCCCAAGACACGGACTTGAGTGAAGCTGCTGTCAACACCCAATCTTCTAAATTACAACTGGAATCAAGTGCACAAAAACATTTCGTACCATCGATATATTTCTTGACGTATGAGGGCATTGCGCATACATTTACAGCTTGTAAGTCAGAATCGACATAAGATTTTACTAGTGCAATATATGTACTTAACGGCAAACGATTCGCGTATTGACCACTCTGAAGAAACAGTTGTGTCAACGATGTTCGATGAATGAGTTGATCAATGAACTCATTTATGCATGAAATGAATCATTGGATAAAGTAAAACCATTGACAAATGTAGTGGAGAGATATTGTTCAACTCCGTTCTTCACTGTTTCATTGACTAATTCACAAAAACTTGCCAATGTTTGCAAGTATGATGAAGATAGCTAAATAAAACGAACGTCTGCCGTTGGATTATTCGGGAATGATAAAGTTTGATACCACCAGACTTGAACAAAATCTTCGTACGGAATAGGCATTTGACTACAAGGACACATCAATGTTAACGGATATTCTTCGTCTAGTGTTGGATGAACAACTTGTTCAGTGATAGTTTCAATTAATACAGATGAGTAGATGACCATGACGAACACATGTTTCGTCATGAGAATATTTTGTGTAGATGTTTAAACTTACAATTTTGTCTTTTATCTTCTTTAAAATTCGTTTGAATCGATTAGGGAAATTTTCACCTAAAATGATAAGCCGATCGTCGATCCTTCTTGTTGTTGAAATTCTCCTACCTGATGGTTGTCTCATTGGTCGATTCTTTGCAAAAAAACACTTTGTATAAGAAGAGAAACAAAAGAATGAGATAGGGAGTAATAACACGTAAAACGACTGATATGCCACCCTCAAGTCCGAACAGGGTTGACAAAGCGTGGATCCAATTAAATCGATGATTGAATGAATAGGAACATGTTTTGAGAAAACATGTCAAGTAATAATCTTCATAATTTGTTTCATTGTGGATTTCTTCAAGAAAAAGTTCACTGAAAAGTGATTTGATTGTTGTTGTTGGGTCAAATTGACTTGACTGAGATGAATTTAGAATGGAAATATTGATCTTTTGTTGATAAGATGAAAGTCAAGATATGATTGGTGATAAAAGTATTCCAATGTTGATCGAAATGTCATTTGAAATGGCAAACAATTGTAACAACTAGGCCAAGCAAAGTTTCATTGAATGGTATTGTGTTCATGTCATAAACTACAGATCAATGTGTGATGTCGAACAAATAAATATTAGCAGGAAGTGGACACGAACGATCATTCTCACAGACACAGGCTTTCTTCGAATTGTTTTGTATAAATTGATTTCGATGTATCGCGGCATAAAAATCCGGGTTTGGATCAGTAGATTGATTATCATACACCACGCGAAGAACATAGTTGTTTCCTGATGCGGTTAGTAGTGCATTTGCTTCGATGATTCGGTGAGCATTTTGACAAAATGATCGAATGAATTTCCACATGGCACTGAGACTCGTTTGCCGTTGAAGTTTCTGATATTGAGAATAAGTTGGAGTGAGAACGAATTCGCTTTTGGATCGCACACTGAATGATGTATAAGCTGTTAAAACACCGACACAAATAAGCAGAAGAATGAGATACAAACGAGTTGTTAACAATTCACAGCGTGTGATTGTCGGATCTGATGATCGAGAATCAAAAGCATTTCATGTAAGAAGATGAGCATATCCATGTTTTGCTACCGATTTGAGTGAGATGAGGAAAGTTATAGTCGAGTTTTGTCGTGTTTACCCTCGACAAAGAATAGTTTCTGTGAGATTTTATACGAGCATGATACCTAACGGAAATGAGATCTTGAAAAGAAATTCGAGTTCTTGCAAATTGGTTGCTAACTTCGCCAATTCCAAAACTGAAAATCATGAAAGACGTGCTTTTTACGCGTGACTAAGACAATTTGAATAGATATGCTTTATGTAGAACAAAAAAGTCCAATGATACAAAACTAAAAGACACGTTTATGAGAAGAGATTTTAACTTTCTTAATAATTCGCAATAGCCGCTGAAGGATAAACAATGTCACCATAAATACAGCTTTCCACCAGCATACGTCACTTTATAATCAGGCGCTGATGCTTCAGAACGAATTAACCCATTGAAATGTCGAAAACAAGCTTTACTTGCAGGGTTAAAACATATTAAAAGTAGATGACGAGCATTGTCTTTTGATAGAAGTTGTAATATTGATTTCATATCTTTGATCAATATGTGAATTGAAAGGTTTTCCACACGCGGAAATAACTTAACAAACAATTCGTATACGTCGAATGCACGCTTTTGTTTCACAGTGACGTTCGTAACACGATTTCTCTTTGATAATATTTGAAATATTTGATATTGTTCAATGAATCTTCTGTCTTCCTTATAAGAAGTGATCGTTTCAACTGTTAATGTTTGAACATTCGGGGCAGAGAATAACAAATCGAGCATTGTTTTGAAATAGAAAGGATTAGATTTGACCGTTAGAGTTTTTATCCGTTGCAACGACAAAATACGATTGAGACCGATTGTGAAAAGTTGAGGAGCGGAAGCGAGAGAATCACGTAGAGTGAGTTCAATAGCATTTGGAAACGAATACATATGTTGATACACTCCTTCGTCTTCTCGAACTTGAACATGGTCAACTGATGATAACACTCTTTCCATTTCGTTTTTGAATGGTTCTTCCGAGACTTTTGTATGTATTTCATAAGTCTTTCTTTTAAATCAATAGAACAGAACTATACAATCGTGTTGAAGATCTTATTGGTTGTTTACCGATATGGATCTGTTGAAAAGAGAATCCTTCCATATATATAGGATTTTTTATGGAACTGAATGCGAAAAAACCATTGATGTTCAATCCAAAACGGTGATTGAAAGAATTTGATTTTCTCATCGTAGGCGACTCTTTCAGCAGGAAAATCTAAATGAGAATCAAATCTCGCGTCAAAAATGCGCAATTTGAGCAAATGAGTCGATATGATTTGCTGCCATCTGTTTGCATCGACAGATTCATCGTCTCCTGATATGTGTAAAACTTCGACAGAAGGAAAATTATTGATAAAGATATATTCTAACGTTTCGAATGCCACATTCAAATAAAATTCAAGAGAAAGAACTGTCAAATTAGCCAACAGATGACAAGATCCACTGTTTGGCAATGGATCGTGATTGTCGAATAATTTTATGGATAGATGGCGTAGTCGAGGAACATATGAAAGAAGATTATCCAGTTGGCTACACGATATATCATCATCAATAATCAGATGCTCGATTGAATCTGACTCGTTATGACGGCATGCTGGTATCGAATCCACCAGGTGTTTCCATGTCATGACGTGTTTCAGTGATAATTTGCAATAACGCAATGAAGGTAAACGAAAGGTTTGTTGATAAATAGGAGCGAGATCTTTAACTGCATCAATAGTTGCAATACTCAATGAAGATAAATGAGATAATGGAATTAGTTGGTTGAGAAGATGTTCCAAGTACTTGGACTCGATATGTTCGATGATAAGTGACCGAAGGAACGTGGCTTGTGTGAATGGAAATGTTTGATTATGATACAAAAAATAGTTTGGAATGCGGATTGAAAGAATTCGTTGCAAGTTGGGTTTAATGGTGTCATTATTGTAACGATCGAAGGTTGATGGAGACATGAGGGGAATCTTGATTCTCAGTGGAAGATTCGATCTGATGAGAATAGAGTGAAAACGGGAATTGAGACTGGAAAATCCTCGATAAATATGGTAAAAGTCGAGATAGTCAAAGATTTCGTAAATAAGTTCATTGGAAAGATGTTCGAAGCATGTAACATGACTAAACAATGAACCTAAGAAGTTCTTATGGACCGTCTACTGTTACGACTCACCCGTATGCTGTCCTTTTTCTTTCGTGGCCGTCCAAATTGTCACATCGTTGACGCTTAATTCGATCCATTCTGCCCTATCCTATGTTGAAGCAAAAAGCAACGAAATGTTTTTAGTGTACTTTAATCTCACTTGCTTCGAGTTGAAGAAAAATCGCGAGTGGGACGTTATAAAAGGAGAAAAAGAAACGAACGCACGTTTTAGTATCAATAAATAGCCATTTCCCGATGTATGTATCATAAGCAATTAAAAGCGCTTGCGACGCGTTTCAATGCGAGTCATAGACGCTTCGAATCGTTTGGAAACGCGCATCTCGTTATTGATAGTGCTCTAAAATGCGTTTGCTTTTGATACGGCAGTTGATACATAAGACACCTTATCACTCCATTCGGGCTTTTCAGATACCTTCGAATAGTTTTTTTTCATGTAAAGACGGTCAACTACACGTAGGAGATATTTTAGTGTCCATGTCGCGTCAACTCTGGTCATACTTGTTCTAAGAGAGACTCAATGTGATCAAAGTGAGCACAAGCATTGTCATAGATTTGCAAGCGAAGAATAAGTCGAGATACAGAACATGGAGTTGAACAAAAATACACTCTCAACTCTTTAAATCATGTCTTTGTCGTTTCCAAATTTCGGAATGTCTCGAAAAGCTATGTATACCCGTTTACAGAGCAAGTTCTGCTCCATCTTTCCCTATAAGTCTGTCATTACGAGAATTTGGAGAAACGACTGTTTTCTCAATGAAATTGTAGAACATATTGCAAGTGTTTTTAAAGACTGTATATGTGCAGATTTATGAGTTCATCGTGTTCTCGATTGGTCAAAATGATCACGTCATTGAGCTCTATAAGTCCTGAAATTTTCACATGGACAGGCGACATATTTGTATAACGTGACAAAAACTTCATGGAATCAGTCAATACGATATATCTCGGCGAGTTATCTTTCATATAGAATTATTCGGATGGGATAGTCACACTTTTATCAAATGAAACTTCATTCTGAAAGAAAGCGCCAGCCCTCGGATAAAAGCATTTTCAATCCGACGCTTCATAAAAAAATTTATTGAAAAGAAGCCAAATGAGCTTCTACATTTTATGAAAGCATTACACGGCAAACGAATGTAAAAATAAGTAAAAACATACAACTTGTACGTGAAAGAGCCTTACTCTTTTCTTGAATCTGAAGTAGAACTTCATAAGTTGATGTTAAATTGAAAACTGTATCTTGTGCGCTAACTTGAACAGGAATTTGATTCGTGGTTTCAAGTTTCTTCGAAACTTTCCATTGAAATTCACCTGTCATTGCGTTAAGAGATGCATCATTTGGCGCGCGAAGGAGTTTGTAGCTAATACTCGAACTGAATTCACTAGTGGCTCGAAAAGAAAGACGTACTTCTTCACCGATTTGTACTGATCGAGTGAGAGATAGGCCAGAATTGAATTTTGGAGGATTACGCATTGCTTCACGTTGTTCTATTTGTTGTTCTGCTGCTTGACGTGAAGTACGGCCGAAATCAATATCACCGGTAACAACAATATCATAGTAACAAGTGCGTTGAACAGTAGACCATTGCGATGAATCAGTTGCATTGTGAGGAATCTCACAAGCATCACGAGCATTTGCGTTGTCAGAATCGACGATAAGAGCATTGAACATTGGTCGGTAATTTTGATTTTGAAATGAATAAAACGAAGCATTATCACCTGATTCGTAAAAGAAAAGAGATCGAGTAGGGTCAATCGCCCATGTCATGCCAAATTGCTGAAAATGAAGAATTCTTCTTAGAAGAAAACAAAACTGGTGTGCATAAAAACTTACTTCATGTATTTCTTGTGACGAAAGTTCATCAACAGTGCCAATAACGACACCAGAACGATCTCGTAAATCATTTAAAGGATTACCATCGTAAGAACCAATTAAACCTAATGTCCATTCACCTTTTAATTCTCCACTAATTGCTGCGCCGATATTCAGAACCATAGTTGACGCTGTGGCTACATAGACTGGTGTGATCTGAATACTAACACCTTGTGCACATACCAGTGTAAGTTGATTATTTGTCCGATTTTTCGAAATGAAAAACTCTTCGAAACGGAAAGTAATGAGATCTAAGTTCGTCGATGTATCTTGATCAGTTTCAAATATCAGCTCATCATTATTCAGAAGAATAAGAAGTTGATTTCTTCGAGATACTGTGATGGCAAGTTTCTGCATACCAATTCTAACAGCAAAAGCTTTGATCGCTGTTGCAGTAGCTGCCCCAGATCCTATCGGTGTAGTACGAATTTGTGATTCGAATCGAAAAGTAGTATTGAAATTATACGAGATCGTTTGTTGCAAAGGAACTGCCTATAAAAATATATTTCATCAGATATGTAATCTATCCATCGAACTTCTACTTACCAGATATATGTATTCTCCGTAACCATTAAATGTATAAGCAGTTCCATCAAGTGTTAAAAAATGTGGATCACCCCAAGTACCACCAAATTGACCCATAGTATCACTTCCTGGTCGTGAAGGTCGATGTTGAAGATACTTATCGCATTGCTCCGGATTCGATTGTAATTTACAGCAAGCAACAAACGTGGCGACATCATGAAACTGGTGTTTCCAGAATGTTTTATCACTGTGATAACGATCATCGCTGCCAGCCCCAGTTCCTCGAGTGATAATTTGTCCGGCGGTATTGTAACAACATTGTCCACCAGCGCCGTGTTGATTAGATTGAACTGAGCGAAAACACGCTGCCGCATTGTCTTCTTGAAACTGTGGTCGTCCTTGATGAAACCAACAATTACCAACAACGGGAATAAATGAAGGAAGAAATCCTCCATCCTTGCATGCGGGATCAGGTACATATTGAGCTCGTGCAACCTGAGCTTGCCGAAGAGTGTTCGGACACGGCGGAAGATTTTGATTCCATGTCGAAGGATTCGGCTGAGTAGAACTCCAAATGTCACATGTCACTTCTGCGGTTGCTTTTATGATTTTGATCGCAGTTTTAACTGCACGGTAAATTTTGTAAGCTCGATATACAAATATACCAACGCGAATAGCACCAACTGCAACACCTGCTAGAGGAATAATACGAGGCTGTTTTCGCGCAATTTCTGCTAGATCAATTTGTATTGTTTGACGACCGACTTGTGGACGAATATTTGAAGCCAATGTTATAACTTTATCGATTTTAATATCAACATCTGCATTTGAATCTTTCTGTCGTCGACGTGTACTTTCTTCGTCTGGTATCAATGATTCATATTCAATATCAATCAAAGCATCTGAATCAATTCCAGCGAATAATGCTTCAGACATCACCCATTCAAGTTCAATTGTATCTCCCCAACTAACAGCTTGTGTAGCAGTACCATTCTGACGGAGGATGATTTCTTCATTGATAAGAACATCGTTTGTCATGGGCATGTATGTGAAAGTTCCAGAAGATACGAATGTATTGCCTCCATCAAGAGATACAGTTAATTCAACATTACCAGGGTATGTTGCAAGTGGTGAAACACAAACAGCTCGAAATTCATTCAAAATCATACCATTGACAGTTCCGAATTCACCAAAACGGCACAGAACTTCCGTTGTATTTGAATCAAAACATGGCCCCTGTAAATTTATAGTTGTGTCACCTATTTGTGGACCACGCACGGGTAAATGAGTAAGACTCTCGTGCTCGTTACATCCACCTGCTTCAATATCTGTTGTATCTATGCGAAAAGCAAATAGGCCAGGCACATTAACATTACTTTCATTAACAAGTAATGTAATATTCCCTGTCCGAGAATATTTAAGCATTTTTGATACAACACCATCACCAGCATTAAAACCTGCTTGAGCATATGGTCCATTTGAAGATGGGCTAGCCCATTGTAAATCATTGTAGAAAAAGAATGCAAAACTACGTGATTGGTCAGTAATTAATGCCATTTGAAAAGTATTAAGACGGTCTATATGTGTGCAACAATATCCAACTCGATACCATGTACCGGTAATGACCATCATTGGTTCAAATATTTGTTCTCGGGGAAAATATTGACGAACAAAGCGTGTAGCCTTGTCAAATACAAATGCTGTCACATTACTCGAGTTGTTCGCGTTTCTAACATGAACTTGATAATAAACAGCATTTTCAGAGATATTACTCGTGACTCCACGTGTGTCAATGTCAGACCAGAACGGGGTAATTAAACGTTGATTGTTACCAATTGGGAATTCAATTGGATTGTAAGTAGATATTCCACCCAAGAAAGAAAAAAGACCATTATTTGCTTGATAGATTTGACGATGATTGTTATCGAAATACGGGAATATGTAAGGTAATGGTATAGGACCAAGACTTTTATCATCATTACGTATCATTCGGATGTCATCTGCTTCCGGGCCAAAGGGAAAAAAATCATCAAGCGATTGAATGGCTTCACTACTATGCCGTTCAATTATGATGTTAAGAAGGATCAAAATGAGAATAAACGGTATTCGAAGCATACTTGTTCCCTACTTGAAATAAATACTGGGTATTATTATTTTGCATTTATATGTAGACATCTTATCTTAGATAAACACGGACGATTCATCGATATAGTATTTCCAAGCACAATTTCTTGACAACAGTTTATGATATTTTTATCTTCTTGATAAAAATCTGTGACAAGACTTTACTCGGAAAAAACATCGTAATATTTCGTAAGATTATTCATCGTTGTGATTCTTCGAAAAAAAAAACCAACAACTAAAATAACTTCTTCCTAACGAGAGGGGAGTAGTGTAGAAATCGTTAACTCGATCCAAATATTAAACATTTTCTTCGAGTTTTAAAACTCCAGCTTCAAAATTCGAAAAATTTGTATGCGAAAATCAAGTCCCTTCTTTCGGTTGGGATCATAGAGTATAAGTTGAGTTTATCTGTGTCTAGTTGGCACTTGTGTTTGCTGGTAATGTTCATAATTAAACAGTTAAAACGGATGTAATTTCATCAAAATATTCAAAACTACACAATGCTTTTTTTAAAAAAGAAAATAATTTATTTTTCAATCATAACAGTAGTATGTCATGACTGAACACTTTTTAACACATTATTAGTTCGCAGTAATTTTGCACTAACAGACCCGCATTGTTGCTTCTCATTAGGATATGAATAGAGATGATCGTGGAGAAGACAGATGTCGACTCCCTCCATTTTGAACACAAAATTAAACAGAAAACTTGAATCGGCCTTGTTGATTCCGCGAAAAAGAAACAGTAAAGTAAAATCGAAATTCTACTCTTCCTTTTTACTTTCATTAGAAATTGAAATGTACACAAGTAGAAACAAAGCAGTGCATGCATCTTTCATAAACGATACTCGAAAAGAACTTCTAAAAGAAATTGGATTTTCATTTAATTGTTCACGCGCAGCCGACCACAAACAATTAGTTATTTAGTTTTTCCTTCATCTTCCAGCTGAACATGAATCTGAAAGTTCTATTACGCTGGTTGTATAATTCTCTATACAATTACAATCTTTTCATACCAGATAATGATGAATATACCGACGAAGAATCAAATAATCAAACAATCACTCTCCGTCAGCAGAAATATACCACGTGGTTATACGTTCTTCTTCTCACAAGTAAGTCCAACGAATAAACACGCTGACTAGAATTGTTAAAACTATAACCCATAGCAAAAGATCGTCTTTATTGTTTCGTCTAGTATCGATCTACGTTCTCTTTTATATCACTTTGATCAAACAACAGTCCAAAACTATTATTATTTCGGATATTACTCGTCCTGGTATCTTAGATGAACTTTATCTTGAACATCACCAAAAACTGACATGTCCGTGTTCGACAGTTGCAATTCCTTATTATACTTTCGTGAATAGTACCAATCAATTGTATCCAATTTGTTCCAGTGTATTTGTCACTGAACGTTGGATACATTCGTTGTACTTTTCAAATGCAAGTGCGCTTGGAACGGCAGATTTTCGAACAATAGCTAATTCTCAAGTAAAATCTTTTCGTATTCATTCACTGATCAAAATTTTTGTATTTAGTTCCAGCTTCTGTCAAGTCTTTGTTCATCTATACAAAATGCAATTAGTCAAAATGAAATTGATCTTAGTAACACCGAGTTTCTTAGTATAAATCTTCTATCTGACAGGGAAGTTCAGTCCCAGGTGAATACAACTATTGAATTATTCATTAACAGTATTTCCATTCGGATAATTTCAATTTTGAATTATCTCAAAATTATCACTCAAGCAAACTTTTTTGTCTCAGCTCTCAATACCAATTCAATCATTTCAGTTTACAATTCCGGTTCTGGATATAGTATCTACTTAATACCAACAGTTTTTAGCGACAATTATAATGATTATTATGGAATTGATTACCATTCTGTTTTGTGCGTTAATGGAAATCCACTTAGCCAAACAGGTTTCTTCTCACATAAAGGACCAGGAACATTATATCGGTTAATCTGGACACCACCCGAATCGAATTCGACATTGGCTAATGGTTTTTTTGCAGGATGTACTCCACTTGCCGGTATTCTTCACAGTACACTTGATTGTTTGTATGATATCGAATGTATTGAATTGTGGTCGAAATACTTTCCTGATCTGAATCAAGTCTCTATAATAATTGACTTTTTTCTCAATTTTCAAATCTCTTTTTTCGTTGATAGATTGATGTCAATTGGACAAACTCAATTTTGAAAGAAAATGAAAACATGTCTGTTAGTGATTATTTATCTTCAGTTTTCATTGAAAAGCAAATTATCTCGGTGAATTATTCCAAATATTTCCATGCATGTTCGCCGCAGTTTTGTACGTACACGATGACCAATCAATTCGATTTCTCGTACGCAATTACCATTTTCATTGGCCTCTACGGTGGTCTCATCATTATATTACGATTAATTTCACCATTTCTCATCCTTTTCTTCACAAGATTTCACAGTGTTCAACTAAGTATATTTCGAATCAAATTTATCTCATTCATAAACAGTGTTTTTTGTAGGAAACTTTTCAACACACTTGCGAGTAACTGTCAAACCAATAAAACGATTGAATCTATTTAAAAATATCAATGACCGAACTGAAAATAGTATCAAACAACAAACAATAGTGACACGTGTCTACTTAACTTTATTAATTGGTACGTACAGAGTCTTTCTAGAGCATTGATTGACATATCTCAACTAAATATTTGAATTCAATAATGAAAAGGATTTGTTTTAGGATCAATACTCATTCTCGTACTCTTCAATTCACTAAGTACACAAATAATAACATTAACAAAACAGAATCCATCACTAAATGATTATAATCATTTGAAAAAATTCTATTCGGATACTCTTGAATGTCCTTGTTCAATTATGACAATTTCTTATCAGAAATTGATTTCATTTTCTCCAGTTTTACATCAGATCTGCACGAGTGATTTTCTCACATATCGTTGGATGTCAATATTGAATCAAAGTAGTTTGAATGAAGTGTCCATTGATTGGCGAAGTGAAGCTTTTTCACAAGCTCAGCTCTTGTCAAATCTTTGTCAACTTGCTAATGAAACAATTCAGGATGCTATTCATCGTTTTCTTTTACAATATTTTGTTACTTTAAATGTCTTGTCCGAAAATGATTTCACTTTACAAATGAATTCAACAGTCAATGAGCTTTTACAATCGACTATTCGTTACTTTAATCTTCTTGTCGAAACAGTACGACTTCTTATGCAAGTCGATCAACCTTTAATGGGAATACATCAACAGGATTCAAAAGACAATTTAAATTCTATCTCAGATATTGTAACAGTTCTAACAGATGATGAACAATTTTTACAGGTAAAACTTACGGACTTTTTTCAATAAAAATAAAACAGCGAGATGAAAGCTTTGTTTTTTCCTTTTAGTTAATCATCGGTTTGAGTAGAACTGTCAACACAAATTACACATCGATCAATTGTATTTGTGCAACAAATTCAAACTGTAAAAGTCCAGTTGCCATCTATACTGTTAATTCAAATTCTCATGGTGATTTTGACTACAATGTTGTGTATATAGTGCCTGGAGCATACACTGGCTGTTCTGCTACTGAATCTCTTTTATTATCGACATTTGAATGTTTCTATGCAGATTCCGGATGTTTTCCAATTCTGACGACTTATATCAAAGAAATGTATGTTTATAATGTGGAAAATCCATCCTGGTTTGATGTTCATCCACTTGTATATGATCCAATGTCAAGTAATTATCCTCCGAATACAACAATCTCCACTGTTGTAGAAAATATGATGATTGAACAATGGAATTCAGGTTCGTCATATGAAAGTTTTTATAAACTATGCGCACCAAAGTATTGCACTTATTCGGAAAATCTTCGTAAGAATACGTCGATTGACGTGATTGTAGCATTGATATCGATGATTGGTGGTCTGTCTGTTTCACTACGCTTGATTATACCGCGTCTTGTCAAATTTATTACAAAATTATGGAAAATAATTACCAACAGACGACAAGAACAACAAACAGGTAATTATTAATCACAATTTACTTTTCACAAGAAGAAAATATGAATTCTGACTTTGCTATAGTACAAATGAACGAGTCCGTCGGAATGAAAATATTCATATGGAATGGAATTATGTTACTCTACAGTACAATAATCAATCTAAATATGTTCTCATCACGAAATTTTGGACATGATGTCGACAGCGTGACAGTGAAACGTTTAGGTCAATGGGCAACACGTCTCTATATGGTTCTTTTCACCATCGGTATCATTATTTTCACATCGTATACGACCATTGAACCTTATGTTGGAAGAAAAACATTTGATAAACCATCATTTGATATCTACAATGAACTTTATGAAAAATATAATGAACGATTGAAATGTTCATGTTCATTAATTTCATTTACATACGATCGATTTGTCAATGTTAATCTGACATTTCATCAGGTAAGAAAGGAGAAGATCAACAATGGTATTTGTTATGTTTAATCCAATTTAGATCTGTTCAAGTACATTTACTTCGGACGAATGGCGAAGAAATTTATTAGATTATTCTCAAATTGACTATCGTCGTTTTCTCTCCTCTCATTTGCAATATCTTCAAGGATTATGCGAACTTTCTAGACAATCAGTAAACACTACTGTACAACAGTTTCTTTTCTCATTATTCATTGGTGATCAACTGTTTTCTGAACAGCATTTTAATGATCGTCTTCAATTACGAATTCAAACGGTTATATCTAGTGCTCCAACGATATTTTTAACACTTTTATCCTTCATTCAAAATATCAATCAAGGAAACGCTATTGTGTCAACTTATGGAACAAATTTTCGATATTTATATCCATTGAATAATCCTTCGAGTACATATGCAATTACTCAACCAATTATCTATGATAACAACTGTTCTTGTGCGTTTTATCCAAATTGTACAACTCAAGCATATATTTTTCAAGGAAATTCTTCGGAAATGGTACCAATCAAAGGTTTGAAAATCGGTTGTATACCTAGTGAATCATTTCGTTTATCCACTCTTGAATGTTTCTACGATCGAGCGTGTCTTGATCTTCTCCAACAATCTACAAATCATAGTGATCCCCTTCCATTAAATCAAAGTCGATTTGTAATCAACACAACGGTTGACGAACTCATTTCGAATTTGTTCATTGAACAATGGTCAATAACACCAAATTATTCATTATATTTTCAACAATGCTCACCTTCATCATGTTCTTATACATTTGTTCAGAAGATCAATTTTCTATATACGATTACTTTGATACTTGGCTTTCAAGGAGGATTGAATATCGTTCTCAAATGGATTTGTCCGCAAATAATTCAAATACTTCAGTTGAGAAAAAAACGAAAAATTCTTGCTCAAGTAACATTAGTGTTACCAACTATTGAACTTCATCAGTATGTTCTCTTTCATGTTGATCAAACTCGTTCACTTTCTCTAATTATAGAACGGTCGCAAACGCATCAGTTCGGTATTCTTTCAAACTTTGTTTAGCACTCCTATCGATCTTGTTTCTAATCACTATCTTGATTATATTTTCCATTTTTGGTATTCGGAAGAATGACAATCCGGTTCAGTCGACAGGTGAGCTCTTTTTATGAGTCAGTGAATGTCTACTAGAAAGATATGTGGCCTAGGAAATAAAAAAAACAAAAATGAAATTCTCTTGTAGTAAAACAGTTTACTGATCATGTCCTATCAGACACGATTTCGATGAGAACGAGTCGTATGAATCATCAAATGAAGATCGCTTGTTTTAACATTTCTTTATTAGTACCTACAATGGTCGAAGCAACCAGTAGTATAACCAATTCTACAACGAGTATGGAAATGCTAAGCACAAGTACGAATGCTTCGGGTAAGATTTGTTTAATGTCATTGAAGATAAAGGTAAACTACGTGTGATTGTGTTTCTCTGCCATGGAGCATTTGACGTACATGATTTAAAACTATGGTTGTGATTTTCCACTTTCTTCTCATTCGTAGTTTCGACTTGTCCAGCTGCATTTCAAGTGAAAAGAACCAATTTGCCCGGTTATCTTAATTTGAAATTATCTGCTATGGGTGACGTGAACAACGACAATCAACTTGATCTCATATTTTTCTCTTCAACAACTTATGCAATAAACACACAACTTGGTAATGGTAATGGAACATTTCGAGCATCGATTATGTCCGTGATAGGATACACAATGTTGCTAAATAAGCTTATTTTAAGTGATTTCAATCAAGACAAACAGCTAGACATCGCTTTCATTGAGACGAATGTACAGCAGATGGGTATTATGATCGGTTTTGGTAACGGAAGTTTTGCAATATCAGATCTAATCTCAACTGGAAATAACAGTTACCCATTCGACCTGATTGCCACTGATTTTAACAATGATAGTTATTCCGATGTAGCGATTGTTAATTATTGTGAACATTATATTGCCATATTTCTTGGCTATGGTAATGGTAGTTTTTTGCCACAAACAAATCTTTACACTGGACGTAACAGTTGTCCAACATCAATTGCCATCGTCGACTTTAATAGAGATGATCACGTAGATATCCTAGTAGTGAATCATATGAGTAAAACTATTGCTTTATTTCTTGGATACGGCAATGGAAATTTCCAAGTGCCAATAACATCTTTCGCTGGTGGAGGCAATTCTATCTATCCATATTATGTAGTTATTGCTGATTTCAATAGTGATTCTGTATTTGATGTCGCTCTCTCCTACACAACAATGTACTCTATTGGTATTATGTTTGGATATGTAAATGGATCATTTAGTAATAAAGTAAAGATTACCTTGGAATCATATGTTGATAGTTCTCCACTTATTGCTAATGATTTCAATTGTGATGGATACCTTGATATAATCATTGGACAAATTGCACCATCTGGTTTAATCATCTTAATAGGTAATGGAAATGGAGAATTTCGACTCCAAACAATACTAAGTACACAAGATGATATATATTCCATTCCTTCCTTCATTGCTGGAGATTTGAATAATGATGGTTTTCAAGATCTGGCAGTTGGTAATCTACAGTCGTTTGTTCAATATACTCTCTCTAATATATGTCAGTGTTGTGTAGCTTGACATTGTTGCAATATAAAAATATCGTTCTATTCTCATATCGAAAAAATCTTCAATAACTTGCTTTTTCTGTAAAAGGCGTGTATTGAAATTTGCGTTCTCGATATGAACTAGTTCAGAATGAAAGTGATGCCTAATACTTACGTTGATTGACACATATATCATAAACAGTCATTTCAAAGAATTTCTCATGTCTTCAGCGTGTCTTTTTTAGCAGCTATTCGATGTAAAAAACGGAGAACGGCGCACTCTGTTGACTTGTGAGAATACTGGTTTATTCGTACGTAAAAATAAACATTAAAGCAATATGTGACGACGCGTCATCATTATCAAATATTTACGAAAATGAAATGGTAGTCGGTAAAAATGACTCTCTGCTTACCGAGTTTTACTTCGAAGTTGAACAAGGCATTTTCTTTTGGACGATATATAAAAGCGATTACTTTTTCGGATTTAGTGGAAAATATCGAACGGGGAAACGTTGAAACAAGATATTCTTATATAGAAATTTTTCACCGGATCCCACGAAAATGTGATAGGCTTTGGATAGCTCACTTACGACGCGTTATGACAGTATATCGAGTATCTCGCACTTTGTTCCTGGAGGATACTGTAACACATGATACTTTTCTTTTGAAAAGATATGTGCAAGTTCATAAGTTTCTGTTTAGATGACATCGACTAATGAATTAGGACTTAGTGCTGAACGAATTCGATGTCCGATCGGAATGGATCTAGACGATCTTCATTGTTCAACGATATGTGAAGATATTCTATGGAAACCAGTCTCATGTCAACAATGTGAGACTCATTTCTGTTCGAAATGCATTGCGAAATGGCTGAAAAATAATCCAAATCAATGTCCATTGCGATGTGATAATTTCAACCAACGACCATGTTCGAAATTCATTGTCAAGCAATTGGCTAAATTGGAAGTAATCTGCATTTATCAGCCAAATGGTTGTAAACAGTTCAATTAGATACCATTTTGTCCTACATATTTTGTTGAAAACCATCGTCTATGTATTTATTCCAGGTTGTTCCATATGAAGCACTTGAAAAACACGAAATGATGTGTGGTTATCAACGTGTCATTTGTAATGGTTGTCAATTGGAAATGTTACAAAAGAATGTTATTGAACATCAATCTTCGTGTTCGGCAATTGTAGCGAAATGTGATGAATGTAAAATGATTTATAAACGCGCAGAAGTTCTCACACGACATTCGGATTTGATGTGTCTTAAAAAGCAACTTCGAGATTTACAACAAGAATCGCAATATGAGATTCAACAGCTCAAAGAACAACTTCGACAAGTACAAAGTAAAGATTTTTGGGAAAATCTTCTTTGTTTATTTTTCTTTCTAAAAAAGATGATCAAGCTACGATACTTGTGCCACAAGATATTACTGGTAATGCTGTAAGTTGGTTTGTAAAAATGTAACAAATGATCTTCTGCTCTGTTTCGAATAGGCAAGACCGGGACGAACTTATATTCAATCGACGAACGAAGTTGGCAAGCTGAATGTATATCGTGTCGTTTCGTATCAGGAATTGAGCTGGAACTTATACGATAGATTATTCTGTTCCAAATGTCGTAACATATTGTGGAGCCCAGTTTCTTGTAGCATATGTGGTATTACTTTATGCGAAAGATGCCGTCCTCAACAGAACGTTTTCAACCCATTCAAATATATGCTTCAGATAAATGTCGGGGTTCGACATGAAAGAAGCAATTGTAATGATTTCAGAGAAGTACCAGCACCTACCGATATCATTAGCGATCTAGAAAGATTACAAATCTATTGTGCATATGCTCCAAATGGATGTCAAGTGATTTCATTATACAATGAACTTGAAGCGCACGAAAAACTATGTGAATTTGAAATGGTTCCTTGTCAACTATGCCAATTACCTTTATCGGGAAGACCACCTGTTACAGAGCATACATTACGTATATGCTTCGAAGAAATGACAAGAAAATATCCTATTCCAATACAACAACAACTTACGGCACTTTTAAATGCGAATGAAAAGGTTGATATCGAGAACCGTAATCTTCGATCAATGATTGATAATCTTCAAAGTCAATTAAACACCTTAGATGCGGCATGTATCAAAAAAAATACCTCAAAGAGATAATCATTTTACTTATTATTCCTCAAGTGATCATATTTACCCATACAAACATTTTTCTCTTGTAATAAATACAATCATATTATAAGATTCAAACGATTTTCCATAGAATATACCCTCATCTAAAGATACCATATGAAAGCATCTCAAAATTCATCTCAGCAGTGGACGTTCTCTTTCAACTTTCATAACGAATTTCTCGAACAAGTATTGCGAGTGATGAGAGATACTTTGAGTTGATCATTGAGGTAAAAATATCTGTATCAAGATAACTATCGTTTAAGTGAATAAAAATTGACATAATAAGAAAGGCAAAGTATCAATAAAACTATTATAATCAAAATAATACGTTGAATCAATGTATCGACGTTGTGAGGGTGAGATATTCTACGAACGAAAAATATGTCGCAATTATTGAACGTATTCTTCTTCCAGCAGAAACAAAAATACTTGATAAAATTGGTCAAACAACAAAAGTGACGAAGAAATTCATTTGAAGAATTGTAAAAATAAATTTGTGAACTTAAATCAGATTGTTGTACTCAATCACCAAGCGACTGTTGTTGCTTTCCGATGTATTTTGATCAAAATCGATATTCCATGAGAATGAAAGCCATATGGCAGATTTCGAATAGTTTTTCTTCTCAATTTTCAATGATAAAATCAAAGATAACCAACAGATGTGATTAATTCTCATAATAAAATCAAATTTCTTATAAATAGATTATGAAAATCGTTCACAGATCAAAATGCGTCAAATCTTCATCGCCACTCTCGTTTTATCTTTGTCATTGGCAGTTTTCGGTCAAGTAGATCGAAAATGTCTCGATTGTATTTGTAAAATTGAATCCGGTTGTCGTCCACTTGGTTGTGCATGGGATGTCAATTCCAATTCCTGTGGTTATTATCAACTAAAACAAGTCTATTGGATTGATTGTTATTCCCCAGGTGGTTCGCTTGAAGCTTGTTCAAAAGATAAAGCTTGTTCGGAAAAATGTGTTCAAGCCTATATGGCACGATATGGCACAAGATGTACCGGAGGACGAGCACCGACTTGCCAAGATTATGCAAGAATTCATAATGGTGGTCCGAATGGATGCAAAATTACTGCAACGCAAGGCTATTGGAATAAAATTGCTGCTTGTTACAACTCGGGTTAATTTGTTCATTTCTTGGTTTGAAAAGAATTTAATAAAAACGTTTGATCTTTCATAAGAGGACTTGTTTTCGTTAACTAATGCGTATGACAAAAACTACATGACGATAGATGTCATGAGTTGCCAAGAGTTGTTGTAATTTCTATTTTTCTCGTTCTGTTTTCTATTGGCGATCGCTAATCGGAAAATATTTTCTTCTTGCGTTCTGTCTCTTTCTCGTCATATCTTTCCGGCGCGTTTATATATATATCTGAATAAACATAAGAGAATCATGTTTTTCTATCATTACCAGATCGATTTACTCTGACTTTTCAGGTGATAAGAAGAATGTTCGAAGAGAATCCAAGACTTAAAAAAGGACTTATTATCGGTGGTGTAGCTGTTGTAGCTGCTGTTGCCGCACCCCTCGCTATAATACCTGCACTGGGTGCAGCGGGTTTTACATCGGCCGGAGTGGCAGCTGGAAGTGTCGCTGCATATTTCCAAACAGCAACAACAGTATCGGGAAGTCTTTTCGCTTTATGTCAATCGGCTGGAGCAGTCGGTGCAGTAGCAACATCAACATCTATTGGCGTTGGAGTCACAGCTGCTGCTGCTGCAGGTGGTGTAACAGCTGCAGTTTGCAGAAATCTAGGTGGTAATAGAGTTGATGTAGCGGTTCAAACGGATGAAGACGAAGATGCTCCCGACGAAGTTGATATTTTATTTGATGAGCGATCAAATTGAAACATTTGTTTCACTTTAATCTATGACTTGTTCATTCACATCATATATCTTTTTATTTCAAAAGAAATAAAAAAACAAGAATCTCATTAATTATTTGATCGTTTATTGATGTAATTCGACAAGATCAAAGAATTTGCTCTTCCATCTGAAATCACATTCTTTCCATACGGAGGAATCTGATGCAGCGACACAAATGCTAAAAGAAACAATCAAAACGAAGAAAAAATTTATTTTCGATTATAATTGTTCGATAAATATGGATTCCAAGGTTGATTAAACGCGATTTCACTCTCTGGATAAGCTATGTAACTGTGCATATTGTAGTAACCACGATTAGCGAAGGTGTTTCCACCTGGTGCGAGAACATTCGGGCAAATTTCACGATGTTACGAAGTGATCGAGTTTCGGCTTGTGTTGAAAATGAAGATAAGCGGCAAAACTCGTCTTGATTTTATTTTATGAGATAACATCGAAAAAGAAAATGCCAAAACGAATCGAAATGTCGTTTCAGATAAAAATATTATGAATGGAAGTTTACCATCATCTGTTTTCGTCAAATAAATTTAGTGTTGATCTTGTTTACCGAAAATGGCGAGACTGAATTCTTCATTTGTATAAACTTTACTAATATTTGAAGACGATGACGTGGATAGAATCGAGTCAACATTGAATCTAGTCAAACCTTTCATTCTTGAGCTTGACGAGTTTCTTTCCATTGAGAAGCAAACTGAGACAAAAATAACATTGATAGCTGCGTTAAACGTGTTTCTTGCATAAGAAGTCAAAAAGCGAAAGGATGAGTCATTGATTTCAAACGTAATACTTTTGAAAGTTTTCATACTGTGTAACAAATTTGAAAAGGTAAGGTTATCGAAGGTTTATTTGTCAAAGAGTGTCATTCGTATGACAGAACTTGTTAATAGATGTCGAAGTAATCCGATCAGAGAACTGTAAAATCATTCATCTCCATCCTATGAATCTTAGTATTCGACATATCATCAGTATCTGCGAGGAACCGTTGGAAGAGGAAATCACAGAGAATTTCAATGTTTTACGGATCAATCTCAATGATGAGGAAGATGTCCATGTTATAGTGAACATTTCCGACAAACGAACGACTTTTTGTGTTTGTGCAACAAGAAGAACGATGAAAGTCAATTGGTTCACTGCTTGATGGGAATCTTTCGATCGTCTTCCATTTTTTTTTGCCTACTTAATACCGTAAGATTTGGTCTTTGTCATGAACATTGTTCAACTGATTGACGACGAGGCCAATCCAATAAAATCACAATAATCCAACGTCGAATAGCCGCTGTTTCACAGAGCAAATGTAGAAAACGGAAAGCTGGCTTTTCCCGAGCTTTCATTTTTCGTTTCAGCAGTTCTGAACTATTTGATTTGTTCAAGGAAAATCTCAACAAGTATGAATTCAATCTCCAATTATAACTATTGTTAAGACGAACTGTTGTCATATTCTCGGGATGCAACTCAGGGTACTTCTCCACTCGCGAAATGTTTTATTATTCAAGTACGAACGGAAAACGACGAACGTGTTTCTTTTTTCATCCAAAATAATTGACAAGGTTATGAAATAATTCCCTTCCCTTTCCTTCTCCAAGTAAATCCATTTCGTCTACGAGGAATAGAATCTGTCGTATAAAGAACATCTGAATAACATTAACTTCACAATTTGTTAGTTTTCAAAAATTGGATTCGAACGTTTATTAATAAAATTCGGAGGAATCATAGGATTTGCTCTTCCATTCGGAAAATATCCCGGGTAAACCATATTATTTCCAAACGGGGGGATTTGATTCGGTGGAACAAAAGCTAAGAGAAAAAAATGAAAGCAAGCAAAAGTAAAAGAAATCCTACGATTGAATTGATTGTTTGGATAATAATTTGGAAAATACGGGTTCCAAGGTTGGTTAAACGCGATTCCACTCTCTGGATAAGCTATATAACTGTGCATATTGTAATAACCACGATTAGCGAAGGTGTTTCCACCTGGTGCGAGAACATCGGGCCAAACTCCACGACGTTTACGAAGAGATCGAGTTTCGACTTGTGTTGAGAAGAAAGTTATTTTGAGGAGAAAGATGATGAAGAAAAAGACGATTCGAAACTTCATTTGTTGATTCAGATGAAAAATCGAAATGATCGAGTAGTTTTACAAAAGGTCTTTTCTTTTTCGTTCTTTTTTTTCTTTCTTTTTTTTATAAATAATGGCAGCGAAGGTGAAAGAAAGAGAACACACTCGTCCTTGTTAGATCCATATATTAGTTCTTCGCATATAAAGATGAATCTGACCTCGAACAACTTTTTTTTTCTTTATGAATATTAAAACAAGGTTATTTACTGTGTGAATGGGCAAACTGGATGATTGATTTGAAAGAGAAATCACCAAGTTTATTTTGATCTTAGTAGAAATCGTCGAGTGAATGATTTCATCACATAATCAGTCATTGAAAAGTTACTGTCCCCAAAGTATACCACGTATGACGTGCATTCCAGACTGTCATAAGTTCAGTTGATGCGTTTTTCTGGACAGTTTGGCCATCGAACATTTGTGAAATTCTGTTGATCATTATATGTTTGTATTGGTACATGATCACAATCATTCCTAGAAATCCAACTTCATAACCATTGCAAAGTATAGCTGCGCTTGTCGAAACTGCCACACTGGCGAATACATCTGATGCTTCACAACTTAAACGGTCAGTCATGTAATCACCTTTTGACGACCATTTTAGCCAATGCGGCATCATCAACAGGAGTTGTTGCGTTGAATAAGCAACATGTGCCGCCGCGTGAAATTGACAGGACCGTTCAAACCACCGGTCACAATATCACGAACTCCAATACCAATCGCGATAAAAGTAAAAAGAACATTAGAAGAAAACAAAAGACACCTGAAACACGTACTCCGTGAGTGATGTCATTTTACAATAAGATATCGTATCCGACGAGTTGGATATTTATTTCACATATCCAACAGACAACTGAACAATCTGTCGCACGAGTCATCCCTCGTCTAATTAATTAATTGCAATAAGATTAATATAGTATACTAATAAGAAGAATGGTAAACTTTATATGAGGGTCATTACATTTGTAAAACATAGGCAGTACTTGTTAAAAACGAGAAAACACCATCATCATAGTGAAAGAAAGAAAGAAATGCAGAAAATTCGGATTTTATCCGAGAGTGAAGTGTACTGCAAAAATTGCATGAGAAACTATAGAAATATCATCGAGAAGTGTCACTATTTCTACAATACCTCGTCGAACTAAGCCCATTTTTTGGATTCGAAGGTGGTATGGATGAGACAAAACTGTGCAAAAAGTTTTCCGTTAGTCTAGGTACAGAAAAGTTATATTTTTGAATAGATTTGTACATTTTTCAGCAACTAGTAGAGTTTCGTATAATATTAAACAAACGAAAGAAGACTTGGATAAAATTTCACTCAGGTCATCCACACCTTCTACAAGGGATAAAAAGTTAAATGAATGAAATTCGTTTTTTGAAAAGGTGAACCACCACTGTACCAACGATTTTATCAACACTTTTTTCTTGTCTGTTACCAACATTCAACTATTTAAAATTATTCATTCATCTCCTGTAACAAACTCTAAGCGTTCTTCATCTCGAATTTATCTTTCTACTTGATTTTTTCCAAGAGTTTACTACTCCGTAAACATTTGGAGGTCACATAGATGTCAGAAGAGAAAAAGACTCTTTTTTATAATAACGTGTGTTATGTTAGACGAAATAATATATCTATCATCGTTGATCACGATCGTATTTATCGATTGTATCAATAGTTCTATAAGCTATTTTATTAGGTACACTTTTTGAACGCACGACTTATTATGCGTTATTGACAAGTTTAGTAGCCGATCTTAATTCTAAGGAATATTTAAATTGAAAATCTGAAAATAGTGCATTCGTTTTATTCATATTTTCAGGTCAGTACTACTTGTGGGAACACATTCTCAGAAGAGAATTAGTTTCTATAGGTATATCCTGTATTTCTTCATTTTTTTTCGCCATAATAAGTGAGGCTAAATTAGGTCGAGTTTGCAGAATATAGATATTGGTAATTATCATAAACATAGGCTTTTGATGTTATTTTGTTGGCTTTCTATGACTTCTTTTTCTATCTCATGCCAAAAATTAAAAATATGTGGAAAGACAGTTAGTGCTGTGAATGACAATCTGATATTTTTCTGAAACACAAGTCGATAGGGATAAAATATTTCATCTAATACCTTTCGTTTCGCCTATTCATAAAACTTAACAGTCAATCACAAATTATTCTTATACAATGAATACTAATCTATCGAATATTGAAGATTAGCTGCAGTGTAGTTGACATTATGAATTTCATGAGTAGAATATTCAGGATGTTTTGTTATAAATATTTATTTTCTCAGTGCTCTTAGAAGTGGTGCTATAGAATCAAGCACAGCTGTTCTTGGTGCTGAGCAAACTCAGCAATCACCAATGACATCACGATATTTTGTAGTCCCATTTTCATTTCTGCTAAAACAGCTGATATTCATTATTAGAAACATGATTTGTTTTACCAGTTACAGTATTGATACAGAGCTTCGCATGATCTTTTTCTGTAATCTATTTTAACCATACTTAGCCTTTGTGATTCATGCTATTCATTCAAAACAATTAGAAATGCACACGATAGACGTTTATGAGGAGCGATTCAATACGATCTGTAGCTAATATATCATACTCTAATACTACAAACAGGATATTTACTCAACTTCAGACTACACAAAATAAAAACTACATATACAGTTTTAGTAATCTTTTCAATATCACCATATGATCCTTTGTAAATACTTTCTAAAATAGCATAGCTTGTAACTCGTCGATTGCTATTTTCAATCAGTGTCCTTGCACTGAAAATAAATCGATTAGGATCCTTTTCTTCAACTGTCCGTTCACGGTCTTGAGTTTTCTTTCGCAGAGTGATAACATATTCTTCACCAATGTAGGTCTTGTCACCGATAATTTCAACATTTTCTTCTGTATACTCTAAGAGACCTGATTCTTTGTAAAATTATGACATCATGAACTATTCGATGATTAAAATCACAAGCTATTTGGATTTTAAGTACATAGTTCATTGGACTTCTTGCACAATAATATACTTTATGTTGTCCATGATCTCCTGACTTATTACAGAACAAGCAGAATCAACAAATCATTTCTGATATTCCTTCGATCTATGTGCTGTATTTTCATCATTCATACTATCAAGTAATAGAATCATCTTTGGACATGCAGGTAAATATAAATGATCTATTATCACAAATAGAAAATAATTCACCGTTGATCTACTACAATTTAAATCGCTTTCTGCTGGTACAATATGCTGTAATGGATTGTTCACACAGACTGTATGAGAGTTGTAGTTTGTTCAATATCAAGTCCCATATACTGCGTACGTAATTCGCTGTTACGACTTCACTCTGACCATAGACGTTGTCCGAGAATGCAAAAGGGAAGAAAAACAATCATTACAGATGTATACCTACTTTATAGGCCTGCTTTTCTTCCTTCAGCTGTTGTCTCTCTTCTGCGAGTTCTTGTGTCAGGCATGGGTAGTTCATCGACTTTTCGATCCAAGTCAAGCCACGAGTCACTTGACTTACATTGGTTTAACCTGATTCAAGTCGTAAATAGGATTGACTTTTCATTTTTGATGCTAACTGATTGTGAAAGTTAGCCTATTGTCCTTGATTTAGAATTTTTGACAAATTTTAAGTCTCAAACTGATACTGAAGTACGCAAAACACATATACATTTATATAGTTTTCAACTTGACCTGTGACTTGAACACGTACAGAAAATCAAGTCAGGTGACTTGCGACTTGCCCATGTCTGTTTGATATACAATAATCACATCTTGTAAGATCTCGATGATAATTACTAGACAAATCAGATTTCCCAGAGGAGACACATGCCCAAAATAGCACTGATTTGCAACTATCACAATATTTACGGTGATCTTTCATAGTAATTTGACACTCAGGATACTATGATTTTATTTGCGACGATGAAGTTATGAGGGTGGTAAGGTAGCAAAAAGATAGTTTCGATGAAAATATGTTAAAGTAATATATCAAGCAGTGATAGAGAGAAAATACCGAGAATGATATAGAGATGATTCAGTCGATTGATTTTGTGCGAGTTCAACAAATCTTCATCTCCATAAATTTAGTTCTCTGTCAGTGACTCGACAGGCAATTCTGCCAGTTACTGCAGGATCTATGCTCTTCCCCATCAGTACTCTTGTAATAGCAGATGTACGACAAACTGATCGATTTGGATGTCATGTTCGCTCTCGTACACGTTATGGTCAAATCTATGTCAATAATGAAATTCTTCTTTTAGCAGTCATTGCACCACGTCTAATGACACTTTTTGACCTAATAACTGTATATAATACAAAACAATTGCATATTACTCCTGTTGCAATATCACGTTTTCGGCGTACCCAGGTCGAACAATACCATACTCGGATCCCATCGGATCCAATATAGGATTTTATCAGATCCTACAGGAATTCGATGGATCCGATGAAATCCTGGTGACGGAATCGCATTGGATTCCGACGGTCTCGGATCCGAAACATGAATTTCCTAAGGGTCATCATAGAATATAGCTAAAAAGATCACTCATAAAATTTGCAACAACCGACGGGATATTCCTAGTCGGATTCCAATTGAATTCCGTTTCCTGGAATCCGATCGGATCCAGCATCGGATTTTTTGACCTGGGTACTGAATATCAACTAGCTCGAATGCTTTTCTTTCAAGTCGGTACTCATGTTCTCCTTACAATACCATCATCTGTGACTTCTAATATGATTCTTCTTCCAACCGTATTTCGAGCGACTCAAAGTTTTTATACTATTTATACATTTTGTTACTCACTATTTTATTTACCTTGTGCAATAGCTTTTATTATTTATATACTTTCTCTTCGTATTCACAGAAAAGAATTGAAATGCTTGATTTTTAGAATGTTACGAATTCATCGTCAACATCGTGTTCAACCACAAAATAGGAATACATTGCCTATACGATCAATACATACAAATG